TCTTTAATTGAATTCTAGGGGAAAATAGATGATTTCTTCCAGTTTCCCACTTTTAGTGTCCAACCTAATACCCTACAACTTTTTCCCCATGGAGAAAAATAAAGACCAATTTAAGGGTGGAATCATGGTATGAGAGCTACCCATGCCTCTTGACCTGGTTTATCCATTAGAAGGCTTAGTATATTTTAGCTGACACCACTCTGCTCCTCAGTAAAGTAAGGGTGCTGAACCAGAACAATGCTTCCCAAATTCCTACAAGGATCTATGTGAGTCTAATCCTAAATGAAATGAAAACAAGGTCCATGTAGTGTTTCATAAAGCTAAAAGTACTGGGGCACCTGGGGGGCTCAGTCAATGAAGCCTCCGCCTTTGGCTCAGGTCATGATCTTGGGGTCCTGGGACTGAACCCCCCATTGGGCTCCCTGGTCAACGGGGAGTATACTTCTCTCTCTCTCGCTTTTCCCCTGTGTGTGCTCTCTCTCTTTAGCTCTCTCTCTCTAGCTCTCACTCTCTGTCCAATAAATAAAATCTTGAAAAAAATTTATTACAAAAATATTGCATGGAAAATTTAGAAACTGCAGATAACACCTACAATGTAAGCTCCACAAGGACAGGGATTTTTATCTGCTTTGTTTGAAGCTATGACCCCAGCATCTAAAAAGTACCTGTATACCTGGGATATGAATTAATAAATGAGTAAACAAAAATAAAACAATTAAAAACAAAACACAATCTGGGGCGCCTAGGTGGCTCAGTCATTGGGCGTCTGCCTTTGGCTCAGGTCATGATCCCAGGGTCCTGGGATCGAGCCCCGCATCAGGCTCCCCGCTCCACGGGAAGCCTGCTTCTCCCTCTCCCACTCCCCCTGCTTGTGTTCCCTCTCTTGTTGTATCTCTCTCTGTCAAATAAATAAATAAAATCTTAAAAAAAAAACACACACAATCCCACTGGGGTGCCTGGGTGGCTCAGTCGGTTAAACATCTGACTTCAGCTCAGGTCATGATCCCAAGGTCCTGGGATTGAGTCCCACATCAGGCTCCCTGCTCAGAGGGGAGTCTGCTTCTCCCTCTCCCTCTGCCCCCCCCATGCTCACTCTTTCTCTCTCTCTAATAAAAAAATCTTTAAAAAAGAAAAAACACAATCCCTCTAACTACAGGAAGACTTTAATTTGGATCTTCAGTGTGAGTTCACCCACAGCAACTTAAAAAATTCACCATGCTCCAGAATCAAAATATTTTATTTAGGAAAAAAATGCTTAACAAATCAATATTAAAGAAACTTCTATTTGACTGTCCCCAGGGACATCTTTCAATTGTACCACTACCACAAAATCACTTTTATTGAGTTACTCCCTTACTCAAAAACCATTTCACACAGTTCACTTCATTCTTTTTAAGTAAGCTCTACACCCAATGTGGGGCTTGAACTCACCACCCCAACATCGAGAGTCATATGCTCTATGGACTGAGCCAGCCACGTGCCCCTAGGAACTTCATTTTTTTTTTTTTTTTTACCACAACCTACCCATCAGCTTCCCATATCTTACTTCTATTAGAGACACCCTCTGCTCCAAATTCAATTACACAACCTAACCTGCCTCTCTGCCTTTGCCTCTGATCCTACCCTATCAAAAAATGGTATTCATCCTGTTCAAGTTCAGGAAGATACTCTCTCCAGGACGCGTGGGTGGCCCAGTCGGTTAAGCGTCTGCCTTCAGCTCAGGTCATGATCCCACCGTCCTGGAACTGAGTCTCACATTGGGCTCCCTGCTCGGCGGGGAGTCTGCTTCTCCCTCTGCCTGCCGCTCCCCCTGTTGTGCTCTCTTTCTCTCTCTCTGACAAATAATAAAATCTCGAAAGAAAGAAAAAGAAAGAAAGAAAGAAAGAAAGAAAGAAAGAAAGAAAGAAAGAAAGAAAGAAAGAAAGAAAGAAAGAAAGGAGAAAGAAAGAAAGAAAGAAAGAAAGAAAGAAAGAAAGAAAGAAAGAAAGAAAGAAAAGGAAAGAAAGAAAAGAAAGAAAAGAAACTCTCTCCTTCACAAAAGCATCCATCCCATGGTGCCCAGGCAGAAGTGATGATTGCAACTCTCCTCTCAGCTACTGTAATTTTTTACTATAGGCAGCAATTAACACAGATCACCCCACTTTGGAGTTGACTGTCGACATTTTGCTTCCCCACTATATTGCAAATTCCCTGTGGGAAGGGACGTTTGCCTTTCAGATATTTGTATCTACCCTCTTCTCTCTGCCAGCCTCAATCCAAGTACTTAGCACTTAGAATACAGGAAATGAAGGGGCACCTGGGTGGCTCAGTCGTTAAGCATCTGCCTTTCGGCCCAGGTCATGATCCCAGAGTCCTGGGATGGAGTCCCACATAGGGCTCCTTGCTCAGCGGGGAGCCTGCTTCTCCCTCTGCCGTTCCCTGCCACTCTGCCTACTTGTGATTCCTCTCTCTCATTCTGTGTCAAATAAATAAATTAAATCTTTAAAAAAAAAAAAAGATTCTAGAATACAGGAAATGAAGACATGAACAAATGAAATGATGTGCTTCAGAGGGCCTCCCTTTTCCCTGCACCTGCTTGGAAATCACGGGACATCAGAAGTTTATTACTGCAACTATAGCTAGCCTAGATAATGGAATCTTAAATTTAAACTCTTGTCTTATCAATTGTTATATATTCTCTGATATTCAACACACACCTACACCCTTCCTTGTAATTCAAAACCAAAAGCCAGTTTGAGAAGAACCCAAATGGAATGTCATGAAAATATGAAATAGGGGATCTGCCCAAGATACCAATGCTTACAGGAAAAGAAAAGTTGCTGTAGCAGAATGATACAGGCAAGGCCAGGCATTCTATAAGGAAGTAGTAAATGGCTGAACAGAGCTATTCTTCGCTTGCTCCAGACGTAGTTTACCTCTTAGCGTATTCATATTCCTAACAAGAACCTAAAAATGCCCCTTCTTGATTAATATCAGTGGAACCAGGCAAGAATGATGGATGCCACACGCTGATTATGACGTAACGTGCAAGGAGGAAAACAGAAAAGTAAAGAGGTACAGGGTGCCTGGCTGGCTCAGTCAGTAGAGCGTGAGACTCTTGATCTCCGGGTTGTGAGTTCCAGCCCCACGTTGGGTGTAGAGATTACGTAAAAACAAAATCTTAAAAAAAAGAAAAGAGGTAGGAGGATGAGAAATCATCAAGTGCTCTCACCAGCTGTCCAGGGGGCCTCCTAATGGCACCCCTCTGTTTTCTGCAGAGACAGAGTTCTAATAGAGTCTGCACTAAGATGTCAAGGTGCAAGTTGATGATTACCAGGGATTTTTCCTTTCCTCCATTCCTACTTTCATTCTGAACGTGAAAAATGAGTACTGGACAATGGAGTCAGCCCTTTCCACAAACTGTCAATTTTGAGTTTGATTCATTACACATATGGTTATTGAGCAAGGTGTTTTGTTAAGGTGTTAAGAGGTGCAAGAACCCATCCCTGCCCTTAAGGAGTTCCAATTTGGTATAATTTAAACATCAGTCTCCAAAAGAATGTGGAGAACCCTTTCCAATCCCAGGTTACTCTTGGATACAGAATTTTACTATTAATAGTAAGTACCTCACCCAAGTTTTGTGACAGAAAAGGCCACAGCAATTACATGGGAACTTTTTTTTTTTTTAATGAAGCTTTTCAATCGTAAGATTTTCGACCCTCTTTTTTGGAGGCGATTTTAAAATCCAACCCCTCCCCCCCAAAAAGACAAAACCAACAAAAGAAAAAGATCTGAGAATTCAATTAATTGTAAATCCTACATCGAGGTAACCTATAGTCAGTGGCTGTCAACTTTGGCTGCAATCAGAATCACCTGTTGAGCTTCTAAAAACTCCCAAAGCCCAGGCTGCACCTCAGACCAGTGAAATCAGAAGCCATGGGAGTGGAACCCACAGCAGAATTTTGCCAACTTCTCAGGTGATTCGAATATGCAGTCAAGGGGTGAGAACCACTGCTGTAAATCATTCTGCCCCTGGAACTGAGAGGAGAGGATCAGGATCCGCATTCCTCAAGGGCATGTACCCAATCCGGCTCCCCGACCCCCCACGCCAGCTGCAATTTTTCCACGGGCAGTTCTGTTTCACGGATCTGGGAATGAGATCAAGGATGGAATACAGTACGAGATCTCCCACCTTGAGGAGGGAGGATGCAGTCAAGTTCTGTTAGGTTTAACCCCTACGGTTAACACTGCCCCTGGGCTGGAACAGACGAAGGCTTCGCCTTGGGAGCCGCAGGGAAGCCCTTAACACTTGTCTCCTCTAAACCTGCTGGGACCGTGATTTCAGACGCGGTGGGAAAGCAGAGAGCGCGGCGCTGGAGACCCATGCCCGGACGGACGGACCGACCGCACTAGGAAAGAGGACAGGCTGCCCCCGCAGAGCGAAGACAAAGCCGGGCTGCGGGACGCCGCGCCGCAGAGGCAGAGGCGCCAGGAGACGCGCGCCGCGGGGGACCCCGTACTCACGCATGTGCCGCCCAGCTTGTGGCTCTCCACCACGGCGGCCCTAGCGCCCAGCTCGGCCGCCCTGCGCGCGCTGGCCAGCCCGCCCGAGCCGCCCCCGATCACCAGGTAGTCGTAAGAGGCCGCGACGCCGGCGGCGGGCGGCGGGCGCTGCGGCTGCGGCTCCTGCCTACACGCCATGGCGCGGGAGAGGGCGCGGGTGCGCCGCGGCGGAGGCAGCGGGAAGCCGGGGAAAGCTTGCGCCGCCCGCGGCCAGCTCGGCCCGGCGCTCGCGCTCAGGGCCCGGGGCAGCAGGGCCATGCACGCGGAAGTGCGCGCGAAGGGCGGGGGGGGGCGGACGGTCCCGGGGAAGGGGGTGGGGGGTGTCTGGGCCTCGGGCAAGCGCAGCCTCACGGTGACTAAGCACCCGGCCTGGGCGCGGGGGGAGGGGGTGCAGGGAGGGGCGGGGCTCCCTGGCCGCGGCCGCGCGGGCGCCCCGCCCCCCCGCGCGCCAGCCAGCCGGAAACCCACCGGGATCCCCTAACCAGAGGGCTCTCTCGGCCTTCAGCCCAGCACCTGGGACCCGCACCCGCGTGGCATCAACCGGATGTAGCTTTCCGAAGGCCCGTGGGGCGAGGAGGGATGGGCGCCCTCTTTTGTTTCACCCGCCTTTTCCTGAACGGGCACCTTGGGCGTTGCCAGTGGCGCCAACTTCTCGAGGAAGAGAGGTATGCCCTTCGTTATTTTGGAGGGTGATGTTTCTCAGTTTGATCCGCAGACCACCTGGATTGCTGATTTGCTGATTCCTGGGCTTTAATCCAGATGTACTAAATCGGATTCTCTGGGGGCCGGACCCCAGCCATCTATGCTGTGAACAATTCTCTAGGTTTCAGGTGAATCTAGAGCACATTTAGTCTGGGAAACATTGGAATAAATATTTTTGTGGTCCACAAGTGAAGCATAACGAAAGCATTTTACTCCCAGGCAATAGAGACTGGAGTGTCCTTTTATTTTATTTTATTTTATTTTTAAGATTTTATTTATTAGAGAGAACACAAGCAGGGGGAGTGGGAAAGGGAGAAGCAGGATTCCCACTGAGCAGGTGCCGGGCTGGATACCAAGACCCTGGGATCATGACCTGATCCGAAGGCAGACGCTTAACGACTGAGCCACCCAGGCGTCCCTGGAGTGTCGTTTTAGAATATCTGGAACCAGCAACTGCACAAGAAAGGAGTAAGTGGGGTTTGAATTTGTGTGGTGATAGGCCACCTTCTGCCAGGCTATGACCCGGCCCATCACCCACAGGCTGAGAGCCCTCACTGTAGCCCAAGGAATGAAGGTCCATGTCACAGAGAAGCAGGACCCAGCACACTGAGGGGAATTGGGACTAACTACACTCAAGTTAAAATGGTATCCACTTCTTTTTTTTTTTTTAAAGCCTTTTTTTCCCCCTATTTAGAAAGTAATATGGGGAAGGGAAAGTTCTTCCAGTACAACACCATGTAATAAACGTAGAAGGAACAACAGAGTTAGGAAAACCAACATTTTGCAACTATCATAGTGATAATTGTTGTGTCATTAAACATCAGGAAATGGGTGAAAATTTGATGGGGAAAAGCTTATTTACACAGTCTTAGAATATGTCCCCACAGATTGCTATTGATGACAAAGGGAGAAGAGTAACTTTATAGGGGGCCAGACACCACCATACCCAAGTGATCAAAGTCGAATATTGCCAGGAATGAGACAGTTGTCACTGTGGGCCCTGTGAGGTGAAGCAGTAAGAAGTACACAATTTCACTTATGTAGTATTCCTGCTGGAAATCCGTAATCTGAATCTAATCACGAGGGAACACACAGAAAAACCCACTCTGAGGAGAATTTTTTTTTTTAAGATTTTATTTATTTATTTGAGAGAGAGAGACAGAGAGAGCGAGCACATGAGAGGGGGGAGGGTCAGAGGGAGAAGCAGACTCCCCGCTGAGCAGGGAGCCTGATGCGGGACTCGATCCTGGGACTCCAGGATCATGACCTGAGCCGAAGGCAGTCGCTTAACCAACTGAGCCACCCAGGCGCCCTCTGAAGAGAATTTTACAAACAACTAGCCCATACTTTTTAAAAACTATCAATGTCTTGGGGCGCCTGGGTGGCTCAGTCGGTTGGGTGTCCAACTCTTGGTTTGTGCTCAGGTCATGCTCTCATGGGTCATGGGATTGAGCCCGGCCATTGGCTCCATGCTCAGCCAGGGAGTCTGCTTGAAGATTCTCTTCCTCTGCCCCTCCCTGCCCTCTTTCAAACAAATAAATTGTTTAAAAAAGTAAAATAAAAGCTATCAATGTCTTGAAATTAAAGCAAGGCAAAGGAACTATTCCAGGTTAAAGAATAGTGAAGAAATATGAGAAATAAAGACAAGGCTTGATCCTGGGTGGGATTCTGGATTGGGGAAAATTCACTAGAAAGGATAGCTGGTGAAATTTGAAGTGTGGCCTATATAATACGTTGTTACTACATTGATGCAAAATTTCCTGACCGTGATTATTGTACTGTGGTTATGTAAGAGAATATCCTTGTTCTTTTTTTTTTTTTAATTTTTATTTATTTGAGAGAGAGCAAGAACAAGGAGGAGAGGGAGAAGCAGATTCCCCACTGAGCGGGGAGCCTGATGCAGGACTCGATCCCAGGACTCCGGGATAATGACCTGAGCTGAAGGCAGATGCTTAACTGACTGAGCCACCCAGGCGCCCTGAGAATATTCTTGTTCTTAAGAGATACACACTGAAATATTGAGTAAAGAGTCTGAGTCTGAGAAACTTGGATGCATTTCCCACCACAGGCACTGTCATGGTCACTTCACCTCTCTGTCAGTTTCTTCATCTGTGAAACGGTAAGGCTTACAAAAAGGAGATAGGTGTGGGGCGCCTGGGTGGCTCAGATGGTTAAGCGTCTGCCTTCAGCTCAGGTCATGATCCCAGGGTCCTGGGATCGAGTCCCACATCAGGCTCCCTGCTCCTTGGGAGCCTGCTTCTCCCTCTGCCTCTCTCTCTCTCTCTCTCTGTCTCTCATGAATAAATAAATAAAATCTATAAAAAAAAAAAAGGAGATAGGTGTGTCAAATAAAGAGAATATCTTCAAGTGGAGGAAATGAGTTGGTAGGATAATGAGGTGGTAGATAGGTAAATAGAGGAGTGCAGATTGGCTGGACTGTAGGCAGTTTGAAAAGGGGGATGGGAAATGGGTGGTGTCCTGGAAGGCCTTGCTTGTAACCAGGCTAAGGTGATTAGACATTACGCCAGAGGCCATGAGGAGTTGCTCAAGATTTCTTAGGGGTGTCTTTCCCTGGAAATACATGAAATGAACCGGAGATGGTGAAATTGACTCTATTAGGAGGCAAAGATGTCAGAATGGAGAACAGATAGGAAGGGAAGGTTTGTGCAGGCGTGAGGAAGTGAAGACAGAATGGAGGGAGGGTACAATAGTCAAAGATGACAAGTTTTGAACCAGGAAATATGGGAGAAAAATGCCATAAAACAACATAAAGATGAAAGGAGGTATAGATCTATATATCCCTGCTAGTTTTAAAGGAGGAAAGAAATTTTTACCACCTAATTACATAAGCCCATGCAGTATGTTGAAACTAAAGATTTATAAGGTATTGTTTGGGCTAAAATATTTTATGTTCGTATAAGTGTTTTTACCTTTGCTTCTGACATATATGGGAAGGGGAACAGGTAGCCATATCCCAAGCACTTGAGGATTTCAGACTGTTTCTAAGTTTTCTTCAAGCAAAAAAACTATCGGCTACAGTAAAAATTTAGTCAATGTAGTTAGTAAGAGGTAGTTTCAGGACGGTATTAAATGCTGAAAATGGCAACTCGCTGGCTCAATCAGAAGAGCATGCAACTCTTGATTTCCAGGTCTTGAGTTTGAGTCCCACGTTTGGTGTACAGATTATAATAAATAATTCTAATAATATATAATAAATAAACTTTAAAAAATGCTGAGAATGAAAATCAATGAGTTATTCAAGTGTGACAGTCTTGTGACATCATTATAAATTAGCATGATTTGTGTGAAACAGCAGAGCCCCGAGCCATTATTTCATCTCTTAATAATTTCATTGTTGAATTTTTCTTTTTTAAATTTTATTTTAAAGACTTTTATTTATTTATCAGAGAAAGAGAGAGAGCACACAAGCAGGGGAAGCAGCAGGTGGAGGGAGAAGCAGGTTCCCTGCTAAGCAAGGAGCCTGATGCAGGACTCGATCCCAGGACCCTGGGATCATGACCTGAGCCTAAGGCAGACGCTTAACCAACTGGGCCACCCAGGCGTCCCTGAATTTTTCTTGGAACATTAGACAAACTTAGGTGATTTCTACAAAGACACTGTAAAATATTTGTCAAAATAATAAACCAATAATTAATACATATTGAACTAAGCACTGTGCTTAAGAGCTTTATTAGGTGCAGTACTAAGAACTTTGTTATCCCCGCCTCAACACAAGAAATCAATACCATTATTATCTCCATTTTATAGATGAAAAGACTGAGGTTCAAAGAGGATAAATAACTTGTACAAGATTACACAGCTGTGAATGGCAGAGCTGGAATTCAAACCCTAGAGTCCTAACTCTGAAGTCTATTCTCTTAACCATTACTGGAAAGAAACCATTATAGATAGTGTCCTATGGTAAAAATAAAAGATCGAAGATTTTTTTAAAAAGATTTTATTTATTTGAAACAGAGAGCACAAGTAGGGGGAGCAGCAGAGGAAGAGGGAGAAGCAGGCTCCCCACTGAGCAGGGAGCCTGCTGTGGGGCTCGATCCCAGGACCCCAGGATCATGACGTGAGCTGAAGGCAGATGCCCAACCGACTGAGCCACCCAGGCGCCCCAGTCCAAGATTTTTTAAAATGATATTTTGTGTAGGAGAAAATGTCAAATATCATTTTTTATCTCTTCATTTATCTATTTTTTAAAAACTTGAGAATTTACATACATAAAATTTACCTACTGTATGTATAATTGAATGATTTTTTAAATTTTAATTGCAGTATGATTAACATACAGTGTTATATTAATTTCAGTGATGTATCACATATATATATTTCAGGTATATATATATGTATAGTGATTCAACAATTCTATACATTACTCAATGCTCATCATAATCTTTTTTTTTTTAAGATTTTATTTATTTATTCGACAGAGAGAGACAGCGAGAGAGGGAACACAAGCAGGGGGAGAGGGAGAGGGAGAAGCAGGTTTCCCGCGGAGCAGGGAGCCCGATGTGGGGCTCGATTCCAGGACCCTGGGATCATGACCTGAGCCAAAGGCAGACGCTTAATGACTGAGCCACCCAGGCACCCCTCATCATAATCTTAATACCCATCACCTATTTCACCCATCCCTCCACCTACCTCCCCTCTTTTAACCATGTTTGTTCTCTATAGTTAAGAGTCTAGTTTTTTTGTTTTTCTCTTTTTTCCTTTGTTCGTTCGTTCTGTTTCTTAAATTCCACATATCATATGGCATTTGTCTTTCTCTGAATGGCTTATTTCATTTAGCATTATACCCTTTAAAAAAAAAAAAGTAGCCTCTTTCTCCCTCTGCATTCTTTCTATAGTGTAATTTGTAGGAATTGTATTCATGACTCATCAGAGGCTAATTTATATCACAACTTTGTGTTAGTTGAGGTTACAGATCAAGAGCTATTATAGTAGAAGGAAGGTGGTAATAGTACTTCTATAAACAATCTGAGAAGTCTGTACAGGAAATAGTTGTATACAAAGAACCTTGCATAAACAGGTTGCTCAATGAAATGTATTTCTCATGATGCATATGTAAAGATAATTGTAGTCATTCATGAGTATAAAATAATAGGAAAGGAATAAAACAAATATTCAGTTATGCAATTTCAGTGTTTGATATTGAGGAAAGGATAAACATTGAAGAGACAGAACTGAATGTGAGATTAACAAAAAGCAAATTTTACGATACACAAAAGGAATTTTTCTGACAAGAAGAGCAAGTCAGCTTTGTTGGGAAGTTGGACACTATCTCAGAAGACATATCTAGGGGGAAATCACACATGCACTCAATAGCTCTTTCACCCTTTGGACCTCTACTTAATTGTGTTACCAATGTATTTTGAAAGAAGATGGGGGAGATCATGAATAGCTTTAGAATCTTTACATCTATTCTGAATCTAAATATGTTATTTTTTCTGTAACTTTACTTTCAAAATGTATTTGTAATATTTAAAATAAACAAAATATAAAGAATAATGCAGTGAACATCCATACCTCTCAGCTGAAGAAATGAAGTCCCACCATACTGATAGCTCTATATAGCTATTCTAGTCACATCCTCCTCCCTCTCTTCCTTCTGTGACCCTCAATCTCAGGGTCATGAGGTGGAGCCCCACAATTGGCATAGAGCTTACTTAAAAAGAAAAAAAAAGGGGGCACCTGGGTGGCTCAGTTGGTTAGTTTTGGTTTTGGCTCAGGTCATGATCTCATGGTCATGGGATTGAGCCCCATGTCGGGCTCTGTGCTCAGCACAGAGTCTATCTCTCCCTCTCCCTCTGTTCCTCCCCCTGCTCGTGCGCTCTCTTTCTCTCTCTCAAATAAATAAATAAAATCTTTTTTAAAAGGGAGAGAAAAGAAAAAAAAAGGAATAGAATCCAGCAATAAAAAGGAATATCTATACACACAACGATTTGTTTGTATCTCAAGATTATAATGGATGAAAAGAGCCAATCTCTAAGGGTTATGTGCTGTATGATTCCACTTACATAATACTCTTGAAATGACAAAATTAAAGAGAGAGAGATCCTTTAATGATTGCCTGGGGTTTGGTGGTGGTGAAGGATAGAAAGTGAGGTGACTGTGACTATAAAAGGGTAGGACAAGAGATCCTTGATGGAACTGATCTGTATCTTGACTGGTGGTGGTCACATGAATCAACACCAGTGATAATATTGCATAGAACCAAATACACACATGATTGTATGTAAAACCAGTAAGATCTGAGTAAGATTGGTGGGTTGTGTCAATATTGATTTCCTGTTTATGATATTGTACTATGGTTATGCATGAATTTATCACTGGGGGAAACTGGGTAAAGGATATATGTGATCTCTCTGTATTATTTCCTATAATTCTATGTGAACTTATAATTATCTTAAAAAGTTAAAAACAATTATGCTGTGTGAACAAAGCCTAATCCAAAGGCTACATTTTGTACAATTCCATTTATTGAAGTCCTAGAAGAAGCAAAATTAATCCAAGATAGAAAAAAATAGCAAAACAATGGTTATTTTCTGGGCAAAGTTGTCTTGATAGAGATATTGGTGGCACTGGTGTATGCTACTATAAAGAAGACAACAGGCCCCAACCATATGGAGTCACTTGTGCTAAGCCCCACATCACCAAACTGAGTTTGGCTTTCCCAGAAATGGAATTGCCTGTTCAGCACTACTTAGGTAATCTGCAGGATAGACTTTTGTCATCCCCTAAAAGAAAGTAACCTGACAATAACCAACCCATTTTTTTTTTTTTTTTTTGCCTAGAATAACTTCCTTGTTCCCTCTCCCTCTGGCTATAAAAGTCTTTCATTTTATATAGCAACTCAGAGCTCCTTTGTATCTGCTGGATTGGAGGCTGCCCAATTCAAATAGATTTTTGCTCAAACACTTAAAATTTTCAATATGCCTCAGTTTATCTTTTAACAATGTCTATATTGGAATTCTAGGAATGATACAGTTTAGATATTTATGTTTCTTTGTAGTTAATGATAGGCATGCCAAAGTATGCATACTACATGAAGTATACATATTCATATGATATAATGATATGCACACTGAAGTATTTTGGGGGAGGTGTACTAATGTCTGCAACTTTTTTTGTTTTTTAGATTTTATTATTTTAGAGAGAAAGAGAGAGAGCACAAGATGGGGGAAGGGCAGAAGGAGAGGGAGATGCAGACTCCCCGCTGAGTAGGGAGCCCTACCCAGGGCTCGAACCCAGGACCCCAGGATCATGACATGAGCCAAAGACGGACGCTTAACCAACCGAGCCACCCAGGTGCCCATTGTTTATGTTTTAATGTTTAAGTAGATTCCACACCCAGCATGGAGCCCAATGTGCGGCTTGAACTCACGATCCTGAGATCAACCTGAGCTGAGATCAATGGTCAGAGATTTAACCGACTGAGCCACCAGGAGCCCTTAATGTCTGCAACTTTGAAAAGCACCAAAAAAGACAGGTTAAAAAAAAAGACAGGTTGATAGCTATACTCACTAAATTTTTTTCAACTTTTTTTCTGAAAAATTTTTATTTTTTATTTTTTTAAAGATTTTATTTATTTATTTGACAGAATGAGAGAGCAGGAGAGCATGAACAGTGGAAGCGGCAGAGGGAGAGGGAGAAGTAGGCCCCCCGCCGAGCAGGGAGCCCGATGCGGGGCTCAATCCCAGGACCCTGGGATCATGACCTGAGCCGAAGGCAGTCGTTTAACCAACTGAGCCACCCAGGCACCCCCCAAAATTTCTTTTTTTAAAAAAGTTTTATTAAGTAATCTCTACACCCTACGTGGGGCTCAAACTTATGACCCCAGGGTTGAGTCACATGCTCTTCTGACTGAACCAGCCAGGCACCCCTTGTCTGAAAAATTTCTTAATAAAATATTGAAAAAATTAACTAGTTGATTTTTTTATAGATTTTTTTTTTTTAAATAATCTCTATACCCCATGTGGGGCTCAAACTCACAACCCCAAGATCAAGAGTTGCATGCTCCACCGACTGAGCCAGCCAGGCACCCCAACTAGTTGATTATTTTAAATGCAAAATTTCCAACATTAAGTCACAAAAGCAGTTTGGATACACTTAATGTATATAACTCAGGCTACATTATAATAAACATTAGTCTCCTTACCAAATACGATTATATATAATTTTTAAATGTTGACAGTTCTACTTTTTTATACATGAACAGGTTGCATCACTTGTTAAGAGAAATGTGAATTTTGTGTTTTAAGAATGTTAATGGTTTAGGGGCGCCTGGGTGCCTCAGTCGGTTAAGTGTCTGCCTTTGGCTCAAGTCATGATCCTGGAGTCAGGGATCAAGCCTCACGTCGGGCTCCCTGCTCAGCGAGGAGTCTGCTTCTCCCTCTCCCTTTCCCCCTCCTAGTGTTCTCTCTCCCACTTTGTCTCTCTCACAAATAAATAAAATCATTAAAAAAATGTTAAGGGTTTAATACGAACTATCTAGATTTTAAAATCCCTTTCTCTTATACTATACTCAAGTATGTTCATAAGATTGTATTGTGGGAACTGAGACATCTGTAGCCCTCAATCACCATAATGACTCTACTGTTTGTTTCAGGAAATTCTTGCCCACAGGTAGGCTGTCAATTAGTACATAGCTTAATTGTTAGCTTTAAATTTTCCTGAAAATCCATTTATTTGAAGAATAGGTTGCTCATCTGGGTAAAAAGCTTCTCTCTCAGGTACTGAGAAGTTGAACTGATCACTCAACTGGCAAATCCCCTTCCTTACCTAAAAAGGAAAATAATCTGTTATCAAGTCCCTCATTTTGCTCAGCCCACCAGTCCTTAACTATTATACCATGCACTATGTCCATTCCCAGGGAGGTATCCACAAAGGAATTGAAAAAGCCACCTTAAACCTCTACAACCTAAACTCCAAAACCCTATAAAAATCACCCTTGACCTTCTCTCTGAGACACTAATAAGATTTTTGTCAAAATAGTAATCTCCCTTAATGCAGTAAGTGAGAAATTTGGTTTTACTCAAACAGGTTATTTTGGTGGTCTTTTTTTCAGGAGTTAGCAGTAGACAATCACAGTGAAGAGACTTCACAATTGATAAAGTTTGGGAAACATGTATGACCCCAAGCAAATGTAGAGTACTTGCAAGCCTCCACTTTGTCTTGACAGGAATTCACTGGCGCCATCAACAGATGAAATTAGGAATATAGAAAGCCGGGGAATAAAAAAAAAAACAAAAAAACAAAAAACCTAAAGGAGGAAATCATACCAAAATGAAGATGGTAAGAGCTGTAGAACTTTATTTCCTGTCTTCATGCAGACAACCAATGGGAATCTCTGAATGAGTCAATATATTTAATTATTTAATTGGTATGCCATGTTATAATTTATATTACTTCATCTGGATTGATTTTGAGATTGTGCCCTCCTATTTTGCACTTTCACTTTCAGGACGAAGTTCTTAGCCTATATAAAAAGCAGTCTCCTGTGGGCCTAGCTCCAACCTACCTACACACCTCCATTCAAACTTTAAATTGCAATCTTTTAAATTATTAAATATTTAATATTTAAACTATTTAAACCATTGCATATTTATTTTATTTTTTTTTAATTTTTTTTTATTTATTTGCGAGAGAGAGAATGAGAGAGAGCATGAGAGGGAGGAGGGTCAGAGGGAGAAGCAGACTCCCTGCCAAGCAGGGAGCCCGATGCGGGACTCGATCCCGGGACTCCAGGATCATGACCTGAGCCGAAGGCAGTGGCTTAACCAACTGAGCCACCCAGGCGCCCGTAAACCATTGCATATTTAAACTGGTAGTTCCTCTGCATTCAGTTTCCTAAATTTGAAATCCCACTCTTCCTTTGGTCCTCACTGCCCCCCTCAATTCCTGACATTTACAACACAATTTGAAGGCTTTCCCCCAAGCCCTTAGGGTAGGGCGCGCCAGCACCCTGTGTGTATCCCTATCACAGCACTCAGTTGCTGGTTTACGGGGCTAGTAAACTGAGTTTCTTGAGGACAGATTTAGTAACTCACAGTATTTGAATCTCCCGTAGTTCTACAGTACCAGGCAAACTGGAGGTCTCAATAAATGTGTTGGAATCCATGGAAGGGTGAGATGGGAGGATTGACGGATGGGTCAGAAAACGAAATTTCAAAGCATTAAACTTCGTAAATTGTGGCGACCACCGTAGCTTAACTGCGTTGCAGGTGGGCAGAAGCGCCATAGAGGTGAGTCATGGCATGGCAATGAGGTCATAGAACTGTGAGGCCAAAGTAAGTCATTAACATTTAACATCTGCTGGCAAAACTGAGGCGCAGAGCAAGGAGTAGCAGGACTCCAGGGTCTCCAGGACCTGGAATTTGGTCCAGGCCCCACTTTTCAAGCATCAACCCGCCCGCAATAACAAGAGGCTGCAGAGGGGGCCAAGAACCGTTAGGGAGATAAGGAAGGTGGTTCAGAATAGTGCTCAGTAGCTCCGACCCCAAAGCCCACAATCACCCACTACGGACACGAGGCTGATCACGAGGCACGAGACTGCCTGCTGACAGCGTCAACTGCCCCTACACTTTCTCGTCCAGTACATTTTACTCTCGAGAGTTCTTTTTCACAGCTCCCAGAGTCCAACGGCCGGAGGGACGAGCGCCGCAGGCCTTGCCTCCAGGGAGCTGCCACTAGCGCCCAAGCTTTGCTTTCACAGGATTTGGCTAGGCGGGCTGCCAGACAGGCCAGCTCTCCTGGACATCACGTGACGTGGGGAGGTGACCTGCATTTCTTCTGATACAAACCTACAGATTATGAGTTCAAAAACAGGGGCTGTATCAGTCGAACCAACGACCCGGCGTCTGGGCCTAGCTGTCCCCGAAAATCCCTCCCTTACGAAGGGCTCAACACCACCCGGCAAAGGAAGGCGCAACCGGAAGGGGCGGGGATCCACCCGGACGCGGAGCTTCCGCCACCATGGCTTCCCGTGGGGTCGTTGGCCTTTTCCTCCTCTCTGCTCTCCCCTTCTTGTGTCTGGAGCTCCGGCGTGGGATCCCCGATCTAGGCAAGTGTTGGCTTTTTCCTTCTGGCACTCACATCCGCGTAACTTTCCCATGAATGTTGCGTCGAATTCCTGTCTCGCGGCCGCCTCCCCTCTGGGCGGCTTGGACTACAATTCCCAGGCTGTATCGCGCCCGCCTCTCTTCCGGCGCCGGGTCTCCCGCCGGGTCTCCCGCCGCTTTGGGGAGGCCGACCGCTTTTGGCGGAGAAGGTGTCCCTCCAGTTTTGCGTGCAAGGCGAGAGGCTGGCGGAGAGCACAGGAATAAACATAGACACTACGTCCAGATGGTTTTGAACGCTCACAAGGGAATAGGGTGGTGTGATGTAGGCCTTCTGAGGAACTTAAGGAAATGATACGGAGCCAGAGTCAAAAATATTTCCAGACGAAAGGAATTGTGACATGTTAGAGGAAAAGGATGAAGACCACTGTTGATGGATCAGGGTGACTTAAGGGGAGAGTGGCTCGAGATAACATTCACGGAGCACCCGTTATAAGCCTAACTCTAAGTGCTGTTATCTCATCCACTCCGTATTATAACTGTGGGGGTGGGTACTATTATAATCCCTATCTTACACTTGAGGAAACTGACACGGAGGTTAAGCGCGTCCCTAAGGTTTTAAGAGTCACCGGAGGAGCGCCTGGCTAGCTCAGTGGGTGGAGCATGCGACTCTTGATCTCAGGTGGGAGGGATTACTAGATAGATAGATAGTCAGTCACTGGATTCTGTGGAGAATGTTTTGGAAGGAGGCTGTAGTGGAAGCAGTGAAGCAAGTGAGGCTCTTGAAGTAGGCAATTAGTGTTGATGGCCTGGACTAGGATGATAACATGAAATGTGCACAGATTTGGGATATTTACCAAGTAGAATCAACAGGATTTGTGGATGGATTAATGGAAAGGAGGGATTCAAGAATCACTCCTACATGTGAAGTTGAACAACCCTAAGTAGTTGATAGTGCCAGTGATAAAGGGAAAACTGAGAGGAAAATGGTGGACTTGCAGAGAATCAGTCCATTTTTGGATATGTTAGTCATGGGTTTACATGCATGTCTTCCTCTTTATGTTCACCTTTAAAGTTAGAGGCCATGATGAAACCTAGCTTTGTATATTTCCTCTCTCTCTCCCCACCCCCAAAAAGTCAGGTACCCAGAAATGTTGCTGGAAATAAGAACTTAAAATAAAATGCTTTTTAAAAAATATCTGCAAAGTCCCTCTAGAAACCTCCTACTCACTCAGGCTGTATTGGAATCTAACAAGACCTTTATCCAGATGACATAAGGAAATGTTAAATTCACACTTACTTATTCCAGAATTTACCTGTTCCCTTGCCTTTACAGTATCCACTGTAATTTAGATTCTCTTCTACTTTGCACTAATGTTTGAGTCACTAGTCAATGAGAAAGTGGTTGCAGAGGGTTGCAGAGGGAATTCTGCTCACATAATAAGCTCTATCAGGAAAATACAGTTCTTGAAGGCAGAGCCTACATCTATTTTGTTTTTGTGTTCCCATCACTTATCACAATGTCTAATTTATTTACTCATTTATTTTAATTGTTTTTTTTAAGTAGGCTCCACGCCCGGTGTGGGGCTTGAACTCATGACCCTGAGATCAAGAGTCAAATGCTCTACTGACTAAGCCAGCCAGGCGCCCCCAGAGTGCCTCATTTAATAAAGCAGGCCAAAAATTCTAGAAAATGCAGCTGGGCTTCTGGTAGCATCTCCGTCTAGTTGCTGAATTTTTTTTTCAATTTTTTAAATTTTTTTAAAGATTTTGTTTATTCATTTGAGACACAGAGATACAGAGAGAGAGAGAGAGAGAAAGCATGAACAGGAAGAGAGGCAGAGGGAGAGGGAGAAGCAGGCTCCCCACCGAGCCAGGAGCCCGATGTGGGGCTTGATCCCAGGACCCCGGGATCATGACCTGAGCCGAAAGCAGACGCTCAACCATCTGAGCCACCCAGGTACCCCTAGTTGCTGAATTTTTTCACTTAGTTAACTCCTTTCTCCTAGAAACCTCTGTCGGTTGTGAACTGATGGTTGTTTACTTTGGTTTCTTTTTCTTTTTCTTTAACTAATCTCTACACCCAATGTCGTGCTCAAACTACCAGAGTCTCATGCTCTACCGACTGAGCCAGCCAGGTGCCCCTACTTTGTTTTCTTTTTTTTTTTTAAAAAGATTTTATTTATTTATTTGAGACAGAGAGAATGAGAGAGAGGGAGTACATGAGAGGGGGGAGGGTCAGAGGGAGAAGCAGGCTCCCTGCCGAGCAGGGAGCCCGATGCGGGACTCGATCCAGGGACTCCAGGATCATGACCTGAGCCGAAGGCAGTCGCCCAACCAACTGAGCCACCCAGGCGCCCCCCTACTTTGTTTTCTTGATATTCATTCTCCAAATATCAAGTAATAGTAGTTAAGTCTATTTTACAAATCATATGTCCCAGTGCAATGGCTACAGGGCCAGTTACATGTGGAACAGTACTTACAGATACTAATACTCTTAGCCAGAGCTGCTAACTGAATTCCTAGCTGGAAAATTAGAAATCCCAGACCTTTTCATTCCCCTGGGTTGTATTTTTGGACAAACACTGAAAAATGATTCCTATCTTTTTCTACTGTGTAAAAGCCTTCATTGCCATTTTTACTTGTACTTACAGCTAAATATATTAATGCAGCTTCCTCACATTTATTATTCTTTGAAGTGTCTTGCACATGGGCTCTTGAGAATAAGTACCCAAAAAATCAATTTAATAAAAAAATTTTTTACTTGAAAGATGTACACACAAATCTAGTTCTTTTATATTCCCATATGACATTTGCAAATTGCTTGCTTGTTAGAACAAAAAGCAGTATAATGGAACATAAATCCCATAACTCACTGGTTTCTCTAAATACCAATACTGTAGGTATTAAATTACTTTTGTAATACCCTAGATTTAGTTAGGTGTTGTTTTGAACAACACTTGAATCAACAGCTAATGCTGGCAAAAGTTGGAGGACTGTGAGGCAAAACAAAACAAGTATTTCTTTCCTTTTTTTTTTTAAAGATTTTATTTATTTGAGAGAGAGTGGAGAGTGCACCAACAGAGGGGAGGGGCAGAGGGAGAGGGAGAAGCAGACTCTCCACTGAGGAAGGAGCCTGATGCAAGACTCAGTCCTAGGACCCTGAGATCATGACCTGAGCCAAAGGCAGATGCTTAACCGACTGAGCTACCCAAGTGCCCCAAAACAAGTATTTCTTTAAACAACTTTAAATTGCTATTTTTTAAAAGGATAACATGTATATCAGTTTTCAGTTAAAAATGAAATATTTATGGGGCATCTGGCTGGCTCAGTCAGAAGAACGTGTGGCTCTTGATCTTGGGGTTGTGAGTTTGAGGCCCACATTGAGTACAGAGATTACTTAAATAAAATTTTTTAAAAAATAGATAATTAAAATAAATACAATATTTATCACAAGTATAGTCAACTATACTTCAAGAAAGAAAGATTTAAGTATATATATATATATATATATTATAATTCCTTCTTTAATCTTTAATTGACTAATTACCAGCCCTGAATGTGATGATTCCTCTGTACCTCTGCCTGGTAACTTTTGAGAACTACAAAACTAAAAACTCCTGTAGAGTAGAAAGCATTTTTTTTTCCCCAAAGATGTTATTTATTAGAGAGAGAGAGAATGAGATAGAGAGAGCATGAGAGGGAGGAGGGTCAGAGGGAGAAGCAGACTCCCTGCCGAGCAGGGAGCCTGATGCGGGACTCGATCCCGGGACTCCAGGATCATGACCTGAGCCGAAGGCAGTCACTTAACCAACTGAGCCACCCAGGCGCCCAGAAAGCATTTTTAACCCAACTTTATATTTGCTCCCTCACCATTTAGCAAATTGTATTACACAAAGCTTAGGTACTTGTTACATTTTTGCTCATTTAATTTTCATCTTTATTCCTAAAATAAGACGAAATACTGAATTTTTACTTTTTTCTAGGTTAAACATGTATGTATATAGTAATTTTATTTGCAAATGATGGAATAAATATGCAGAAATGGAGAAGTACACAGTTCTTTAACTATGAGAAATATGAATTTCATGTTTCAGAATGACTGTTTTTAAATAGAATGAGAATTTGACAAGATGAGACTGTCACAATTTAATTCCCAGTGGGATAATTTTATTTCCTTCTCTGGGTAGAGGGAAACCAGAATTTATTCATTTTTGATAGTCATAATGTTTATAATATAGCCAGTCACTTGAATTATACCTATATTTCTGAGACAGAAGCTATTCTAAAATTGTTTTCTGAAAACTTGTTCTGGTAATGACAACCATGATGGTTTTAGCTCACAGAGGAGACTGTATGAAAAAAATGATGACAGTTGCATAAATTAACTTTTACTATACCACTCTAAATAATCTTAATGCCTTACTATTTATTATTAGTATCAAGAAAAGTGTTTTGAATTTTAATTGTAATTTTTTTTTTTTTTAACCTTTATAAGGAGTTAAAGATCTAATTCTGCTGTGTGGTCGGATTCTCTTACTGCTTGCTCTTCTTACTTTAATGATTTCTGTGACTACCTCATGGCTTAATTCATTTAAATCGTCCCAAGTGTATCTGAAAGGTAAGTTTTTTATTTATGCTACCCTTTTATAATTTCTACTCAAATTCCTTTCCCTTATTGATTCTAGAACTTTGCATAATAAGAACCATTTCCTGTTATTGGTGATGTGCAATTTCAAGGTAATCATTACAACTTTTAACTTGATTTTTAATGGACTATAAATCCCCCCATTTTTTTTTTTTTAAGATTTTATTTATTTATTTGACAGAGAGAGAGACAGCGAGAGCAGGAACACAAGCAGGGGGAGTGGGAGAGGGAGAAGCAGGCTTCCTGCCGAGCAGGGAGCCCAATGTGGGACTCAATCCCAGGACCCTGGGATCATGACCTGAGCTGAAGGCAGACGCTCAACGACTGAGCCACCAAGGCGCCCCTCCCCCAATTTTTTTTAAAGATTGATTTATTTATTTTTAGAGAGAGAAAGAGAGCACGTGCCCGTGTGCACATGTGCGCACATGAGTGGGAGGGGCAGAGGGAAAAAGAGAATCTCAAGCAGACTCCTCCCTGAGCATGGAGCTCTACACTGGGCTGGATCCCACGACCCCGAGATCACTACCTGAGCTGAAACCAAGAGTCTGACACTCAACCCACCACACCACCCAAGCGCCCCTAAACCCAACATTTTTATGTGAAATTGTACATTATCCTTATATATGCATTTGAAATGATACCATTTCGATGTTGATACATTGCAAATTATCTAATTTTAAATTGTGCAGTTTATTTTTTATTTTTTATTTTATTTTTATTTATTTTTTGAAAGATTTTATTTATTTGTGAGAGAGACAGAGAGCACAAGCAAGGGGAGCAGCAGGCAGAGGGAGAAGCAGGCTCCCCACTGAGCAAGGAGCCCGATGCCGGACTCGATCCCAGGACCCTGAGCCAAAGGCAGACGCTCAACCAGCTGAGCCACCAAGGCGTCCCACAGTTTATTTTTTTAAAGTTTTTATTTATGTATTTGAGAGAGAGAGAGAGAGAGAGAGGGCAAGTCGGCGGGGAGGGCCAGAAGGAGAGGGAGAACCAGACAGGGAGTCCAGACTCGAGGCTCAATTCCAGGACCCTGGCTGGGGTCATGACCTGAGCCAAAGGCAGATGTTTAACTGACTGAGCCAGCCAGGCGCCCCTAAATCGTGCAGATTAATTGTTCTTTGGTGTTTTCAGCTTATAAACTATTCAACAAATGGTAATCGTCTCTACCATTACTTTGTAAAGGCTTTTCAACCTAATTTATCTTTCATTTCATTTTGGCAGTTTTTTTTAAAGGTTTTATTTATTTATTTGAGAGAGAGAGAAAGCATGAGAGGGGAGAGGGTCAGAGCGAGAAGCAGACTCCCTGCTAAGCAGGGAGCCCAATGTGGGACTCGATCCCAGGACTCCGGGATCATGACCTGAGCCGAAGGCAGTTGCTTAACCACTGAGCCACCCAGGCGCCCTTGGCAGTTTTTCTTTACACACTGCTTACTCTTAACTTTAGGAAACCATGCTTGTTCTTACTTTTGATAAGTAAAAAGTTTTACTTTTAATTGTTAAAAGCCCTTAACAATGTAAAAAGTGTTAGAAGCCAGGCCCCCTGGGTGGCTCAGTCAGTTAAGTGTCTGCCTTCGGCTCAGGTCATGATCTCGGGGTCCTGGGATCGAGTCCCACGCCGTGGGCTCCCTGCTTAGCGGGGAGCCTGCTTCTCCCTCTCCCCCCTGTTTGTGCTCTCTCTCTTGCTAGCTCTCTCTCTCAAATAAATACATAAAATCTTAAAGAAATAAGTAATTAAGACTGTATAAAGTACTTGTCAGATTTTCTTCAAATGAGTAAAAAATCAGCTTGTTTATACACTTTGTCTTCCCTAGTATCATCAGATATTGAGATACAAGACTTCAGATTCATCTAAAATTTGAATCCTCCATGTTTTGTAAAGATTTGCATGATCAAATGTATCAAAAGCTCAGAAGTAGTCAGTTCTCAGTGACTAAGGATTAAAGTCCCCTGGGGCTTCTGGCCGGCTCAGTCAGTAGAGCATGTGAATCTTGATATTAGGGTCATGAATTCAAGCCCCACGTTGGGCGTGGAGCCTACTTAAAAAAAAAAAAGGATTAAAGCCCCTTAATCACCTGTTATTGATTTATTTAGAAGCTATACTCTTTTATTTTATTTTATTTTATTTATTTATTTGAGAGAGAAAGAATGAGAGAGAACACATGAGAGGGGGTAGGGTCAGAGGGCAAAGCAGACTCCCTGCCAAGCAGGAGCCCGATGTGGGACTCGATCCAGGGACTCCAGGATCATGACCTGAGCTGAAGGCAGTCGCTCAACCAACTGAGCCACCCAAGCACCCTAGAAGCTATACTCTTTGATTCAGAGTCAGGAGGGAGTCTTAAGATCACTAGGTCTGATTCATCACATAGCAAATTAGTGGCCATACTGGGCCTTCTGATTTCCTATGTGCTTTGCTGCTGCCCTAATCTTTCCTTAATATAATTTGAGGAAATATTTATTGCCAGGAGAGAAAGTAGTTGACAGAAAGGAATGTTCCTATTTAAGGAGCCGGGCAGGTTAAGGGATATATTTTCCAAAAAGATGGATAATTCCTAAGGGAATACGGTTAAATGAAATTAATTTAAATGAAACTTAGTGGGAGTGCCTCGGTGGCTCAGTCGGTTAAGCGTCGACTCTTGATATCAGCTCAGGTCTTGATCTCAGGGTTGTGAATTCAAGCCCATGTTGGGCTCCCCCAGTGTGGAGCCTACTTAAAATAACTAACTAATTTAGCATATCCAGAATGAAAAAGGTCATACAACAGCAAAAATCCTTTCTCTTGCCATTCAGTGGCTAATAACCTAATATTGGTTCAATCATGGGAGTTGCCAAACACACCCCAGCTTTGGGGTCTAGGCGTGGTTGCATTTATTTATTTTTTAATGATTTTATGGGGGGCACCTGGGTGGCTCAGTCAGTTAAGCATCTGCCTTTGGCTCAAGTCATGATCCCAGGGTCCTGGGATCGAGCTCCATGTCGCGCTCCCTGCTCAGCGGGAAGCCTGCTTCTCCCTCTCTGCATACTTGTGCTCTCTCTGTCAAATAAATAAATAAAATCTTAAAAAAAAATAAAATAAATGATTTTATGATTTTATGTTTTTATTTTTAAGCAATCCCTACATCCAACATGGGGCTCGAACTCACAATCCGGAGATCAAGAGTCACATGCTCCACTGACTGAGACAGCCAGGTGCGCCCAGGCATGTTGCTTTTATTTATGGTCATGTCCAAGGGTGACCAAATGGTACTCATGTCTGCAGTGCAGCGTTCCACACTCAGGTGCAGTAATGAGCTTCCATGCCATGTCTTGGAGCTGCTGAAGCCCTATCAAGGGCCTACACTTAAAACACTTAAAATCCAACTTTTTTTAAATTTAATTTTTTTAACTTTTTTTTTTTTAAAGATTTTATCCATTCATTCAAGACACAGAGATACAGAGAGAGAGAGAGAGAGAGCACGAGCAGGGGGAGAGGCAGAGGGAGAAGCAGGCTCCCCGCTGAGCCAGGAGCCGAACGTGGGGCTCGATCCCAGGACCCTGGGACAATGACCCGAGCCGAGGCAGACGCCCAGCCATCTGAGCTACCCAGGCGCCCCTAATCCAACTTTTTTTTTTTAAGATTTATTTATTTATTCATTTGACAGAGAGAGAGATAGTGAGAGCAGGAACACAAGCAGGGGGAGTGGGAGAGGGAGAAGCAGGCTTCCCGCGGAGCAGGGAGCCCGATGAGGGACTCGATCCCAGGACCCTGGGATCATGACCTGAGCCGAAGGCAGACGCTTAACGACTGAGCCACCCAGGTGCCCCCCAACTTTTTTTTTTAAAGTAAGGTGTGGAACCTAGTGCAGGGCTTGAACTCACAGCCCTGAGATCAAGACCTGAGCGGAGATCAGGAGTCTGATGCTTAACCAACTGAGCCTCCCAGGCACTCCCCAACATAATCATTCTTTTTTTTTTTTTTTTTTTAGGATTTCATTTATTTATTTGACAGACTGAGAGAGCACAAGGCGGGGAGGGGCAGAGAGGGGGGGAGAAGCAGACTCACTGCTGAGCGGGTAGCCCGATGCGGGACTCGATCCCGGGACCCTGAGATCATGACCTGAGCCGAAGGCAGACGCTTAACTGACTGAGCCACCCAGGCGCCCCCCATAATCATTCTTGAAGCCTCCTCTCCAAAACCATAACATACAATATTAGTACATGTCAGAGAACTTTTGTTTCAGGACAGGCCTTTTCTTTATAGATTTTACTTGCAGATTTCTTTGTCTGAACTATCTGCATATGTCTCATTTTCATTATTTCAGAAATTACAGTCTGTTTTTTGAAGGCTTGTCTCTCCCAAAATGTTTTTTTTTTTTTTAAAGATTTTATTTATTTGACAGAGAAAGACACAGCAAGAGAGGGAACACAAGCAGGGGGAGTGGGAGAGGGAGAAGCAGGCTTCCTGCGGAGCAGGGAGCCCGATGCGGGACTCGATCCCAGGACCCTGGGACCATGACCTGAGCCGAAGGCAGTCGCTTAACTGACTGAGCCACCCAGGCGCCCCCCAAAATGTTTTATCTACAGAGTATTTTCAGAGAAAAGAGCATTCAGTTTATCCTAGTTGGGAATTAAAAAGCACTTTTATGTTTTGCTGTCTTAGAAGAAGAAGAGAAGAATGAGAAAAGGCAAAAACTTGTCAGAAAAAAACAACAAGAGGCACAGAGTGAAAAGGTAAAGTATAATTTTTAGAGAGTATATGTATATAGAGAATACAGAATATCTGGAGCATCTAAAATTGAGGTCTATTGCTTTCTGTGTTTGTGCTCAGATTTTTTAATTATTGAGGTCAAATTCACATGACATAAGATTACCAAATAAAAAAAATAAAGCAATTTAAAATGTACAGTTCAGTGGCATTTAGAACTTTTTTAGTGTTGTGCAACTACTATCTCAAGTTCCAAAACATTTTCTTTACCCCAAAAGAAAACCCCACACCTATTAATAGTCACTTCCCCATTCCCTGCTCCTTCTGTCCTCTGGTAACCCCCAGTCTGCTTTCTGGTTTGTTTGTTTTTTTAAGATTTTATTTATTTATTTGACAGAGAGAGACAGCGAGAGAGGGAACACAAGCAGGGGGAGCGGGAGAGGGAGAAGCAGGCTTCCTGTGGAGCAGGGAGCCCAATGCAGGGCTAGATCCCAGGACCCTGGGTTCATGACCTGAGCCAAAGGCAAACACTTAATGACTGAGCCACCCAGGCGCCCCATCAAATAAATCTTAAAAAAACAAAACAAGGGGCGCCCCATCAAGTAAATAAATCTTAAAAAAACAAAACAAGGGGCACCCCATCAAATAAATAAATCTTAAAAAAAACAAAACAAGAGGCGCCTGGGTGGCTCAGTCGTTAAGTGTCTGCCTTTGGCTCAGGCCGTGATCCCGCGGTCCTGGAATCGAGCCCCGCATTGGGCTCCCTGCTCAGCGGGTAGTCTGCTTCTCCCTCTACCTTTCCCCGCTGCTTGTGATCTCTCTCTCCAATAAATAAATAAAATTAAAAAAAAAAAAGATTTATTTATTGGAGAGAGAGAGAGTGAGCAGGGGGAGGGGCGGAGGGAGAGGGAGGAAAAAAAAATCCTCCAGCAGACTCCCCTCTGAGTGCAGAGCCCAATGCAGGGCTTAGTCCCAGGACCCCGAGACTGTGACCCAAGCCAAAATCAAGAGTTAGCCACCCAACCAACTGAGCCACGCAGGCATCCCTACTTTCTGTTTGTATGAATTTCTTCTGGATAGTTCATGTGAATGGAATCATATAACATGTGACCTTTCTGTCTGGCTTCTTTCACTTAGGATAATGTTCTTGGGGTTCATCCATATACATGTATCAATACATGTATTGATTCATTCCTTTTTGTGGGGGAATAATACTTCATTATATGGATATATCAAAATTCGTTTCTCCATTCATTTGCTGGTTGACATTTAGATTTCCACCTTTTAGCTATTATGAATAGTGCCACTATGACTATTTGGGCACAAGTCTTTGAGTACCTTTTTTCAGTTCTTTTGGGTATATACATAGGAGTGGAATTGCTGGGTCATATAGTAATTCTATGTTTAACTTCTTGAGGAACCACCAGACTAGTTTCTACACCAGCTATACCATTTTATATTCTCACCAGCAATATCTGAGCAGCCCAGTTTCTCCATATCCTCACTGATATTTATTATTCCCACCCCCCATCCTTTTAAATACCCATTGTAATGAGTATGAAATGGTATCACCTTGTGGTTTGATCTGCATTTCCCTAATGACTAATGATGTTGAGAATCTTTTCATGTGCTTGTTGGAGAAATGTCTACCCTAACATCTTCTCTGCAGAAATGTCTGTTCAAGTTCTTTGCCCATTTTTGGATTGGGTTGTTTGTCTTTTTGTTTTTTTGGTTTTTGTTTTTTAAGATTTTATTTATTTATTTATTTGAAACAGAGAGAATGAGAGAGAGAGAGCACATGAGAGGGGGGAGGGTCAGAGGGAGAAGCAGGCTCCCCGCCGAGGAGGGAGCCCGATGCGGGACTCGATCCCGGGACTCCAGGATCATGACCTGAGCCGAAGGCAGTCGCTTAACCAACTGAGCCACCCAGGCGCCCCTGTCTTTTTGTTTTTTATAGGAGTTCTTTATGGATTCTGAAAACTAGACTCTTATCAGATACATAATTTCCAAGTATTTTCTCCCATTGTGCAGGTTGCCTTTTCACTCTTTTGATAGTATCCTTTGATGCACAAAAGTTTTGATGAAATCCAATTATTTACTTCTTGTGTTGCTCCTGCTTTCGATGTCCTATTTAAGAATCCATTGTCAAATAGAAAGTCATGAAGATTTACTACTATATATTTTCTTCCAAGAGTTGTAGAGTTTTAGCTTTTATATTTAGGTTATTAACCCACTTTGAGTTAAGTTTTGTATATGGTGTGAGGTGGGGGTTCAGTTTCTTTTTTTTCAATATTGTTTTGGCTATTTGGGGCTTTTTGCAATTTCATATGAATTTGAGTTGGCTTTTCCATTTCTGTAAAAAAAGCCTGTGGGATTTTGGGAATGATTACATTGAAATCCATAGATTGCTTTGGGTAGTATTGACAGTTTATAATATTAAGTCTTCCTTGCTTTGCCTAGTATTGACATCTTAATGATATTATCTTTCAATCCATAAACCTATAATGTCTTTCCATTTATTTATATCTTTAATTTCTTCCAGCAATATTTTATAGTTTTCAGTGCATATAGTTTTCACCCCTTTGGCTAAGTTTATTTCTGCATATTTTATTTTGGATGCTGTTTTTTTTTTTTTAAAGATTTTTATTTATTTATTTGACAGAGAGATAGCGAGAGCAGGAACACAAGCAGGGGGAGTGGGAGAGGGAGAAGCAGGCCTCCCGCCGAGCAGGGAGCCCGATGTGGGACTCGATCCCAGGGCCCTGGGATCATGACCTGAGCCGAAGGCAGACGCTTAACGACTGAGCCACCCAGGCGCCCCTTGGATGCTGTTTTAAATGTAATTGTTGTTTTCTTAATTTCCTTTTTTGATTTTTCATTGCTCAATGTACACAAATACAAATGATTTTTGTGTGTTGATCTTGTACCCTGTCCTTTGTTCATTGTTTATTAGCCCTAGTGGTTGCTGTGTGTGGATTCTTTGGATTTCCTATATACAGGCAAATCTTGTTTTATTGTACTTAATTGTGCTTCGTGGATACTTTTTTTTTTTTTAACAAATTAAAGGTTTATGGCAACTCTACATTGAGCAAGTTTCTTTTTTTTTTTTTTTTAAGATTTTATTTATTTTTATTTGAGAGAGAGAGAATGAAAGAGAGGGAGTACATGAGAGGGGGGAGGGTCAGAGGGAGAAGCAGACTCCCCGCCGAGGAGGGAGCCTGATGCGGGACTCGATCCAGGGACTCCAGGATCATGACCTGAGCCGAAGGCAGTCGCTTAACCAACTGAGCCACCCAGGCGCCCTGAGCAAGTCTCTTGATTCCATTTTTTCCAACAGCATTTGCTGAGTTTGTGTCTCTGTCACATTTCGGTAATTCTTGCAATATTTCAAACTTTTTCTTTTTTCTTTTTTTTTTTAAAGATTTTATTTATTTATTTGACAGAGAGAGAGAGAATGAGAGAGAGAGCATGAGGCGGGGAGGGTCAGAGGGAGAAGCAGACTCCCCGCCGAGTAGGGAGCCTGATGTGGGACTCGATCCTGGGACTCCAGGATCATGGCCTGAGCCGAAGGCAGTCGCTTAACCAATTGAGCCACCCAGGCGCCCTCAAACTTTTTCATTATTATATTTGTTGTGATAATCTGTGATCCGTAATTATAACTCACTGAAAGCTCAGATAATGGTTAGCATTTTTTAACAATAAAGTATTTTTTTTTTAAAGATTCTATTTATTTATTTGAGAGAGAGCACAAGCAGGGGAAAGGGACAGAGGGAGAAGCAGACTCCCCACTGAGCAGGGAGCCCAATGCAATGGGGGGCTGGATCCCAGGACCCTAGGATCATGACCTGAGCCCAAGGCAGACACTTAACCGACCGAGCCACCCAGGCACCCCAACAATAAAGTATTTTTAGATTAAAGTATGTACTTTTTTGTAGATGTAATGCTATTGCACATTTGGTAGAGTACAGTGTAGTATAAATATAACTTTTAAATGCAGTGGGAAACCAGAAAATTAATTTGACTTGCTTTATTATTTACTTTATTGCAAACTGAACCCGCAATATCTCCGATGTATGCCTACATAAGATCATGTCATCTGAGAATAGGGATAGTTTTACTTCTTTCTTTCCAAAATTGGTACTGTTTATTTCTTCTTTTCTTGCCTGTTGCTCTAGCTGAAATTTCTAAACAGTGTTGAGTAGCAGTGGTGAAAGCAGGCATCTTTGTCTTGTTCCTGGTAGAAAGCTTTTAGTCTTCCACCATTGAATGTAATGTTAGCTATGGATTTTTTTCTAGACACTCGTCATGTTGAGCAAGTTCCTTCCTATTCCTAGTTTCTGAGTATTTTTACCATAAAGAGTGTTGAATTTTGTCAAATGCTTTTTCTTTATCAATTGAGATGATCATGTGGTTTTCCCCCCTTTGTTTTATTCATACATATTATATTGATTGATTTTCTTATGTTGAAACATCTTGCATTTTTGGGGTAAATCACACTTCGCTGGCATATAATCCTTTTAAAATGTTATTGGATTCAGTTTGCTGAAATTTGTTGAGGATATTTGCATTTATATTTATAAGGGATTTATATTTTCTTGTAGTGTCTTTGTCTGTCTTTGGTGTCAGGATAATGATGACCTTGCAGAATTAATTAGGAATTGTTCTAGCCTCTTTTATTTTTTTGGAATCTCAACAGGATCAGGGTTAACTCTTCTTTAAAGGTTTGATAGAATTCACCTATGAACCCATCTGGTCCTACTCTTCTTTATTGGGAGGTTTTTAATTACTGATGCAATATTTTGTTAGGTCTGTTGAGATTTCCTATTTCTTCTTGAATCAGTTTAGGCAATTTGTGTGTTTCTAGGAATTTGTCTACTTCATCTTGGTTTTCTGATTTGATGGTCTACAATCGTTCTAAAATTCTTTTTCTAATCCTTTTTATTTCTGTAAGGCTGGTAGTAATATCCTCACATTTCTGATTTTAGTTATTTGTCTTCTCTTTTTCTTCATCAAGGTAAAGGTTTGTCAGTTTTGTTGATCTTTTCAAAGAACCAATTTTGGTTCTGGTTGTTTTCCTGTTCTATTTTCTGTTTAGTTTGTGCTTTTTACAGTTTTTTAAGTTGTAAAGTTAACTTATTGATTTAAGATCATTCTTCTTTAATTAGATGTTTACAGCTATAACTTTCCCTCTGAGCATTGCTTTTGCTGTATCCTATTCAAGATTTTGTTTGATAGCTAGGAATTACATTTCCTGTGGATGATTATCCAACACTTATTTCTTGACCTTGAACTGTCAGCACTCAGGCAGTTGCCAGATTGATGATTAACCTTTGTGAAAGAGGAGACCCCTGTGGACTTTCGCCTAAATATTAAAAACATAAGCCTTTTACAAAGGCCTTGGTACAAGGGCATTAATATTTTGAAAGCTATCAACTTGTTTTCAACTTGCTATCACCGTGTTTCAACATCTAAACAACTTGTTCTTCTGGTGAACAAATTATTCCTTTTTAAGTAAACAAGCGAAGGCTGAAAACAAATCACAAGAGTAAAAGCCTATGTATTTGTTGGGAGATGGGAGATTACTACATTTGTAACTACCCTGATCTGAATTAATTAATTTATTTATTTATTTATTTATTTATAAAGATTTTTATTTTATTTATTTGACAGAGAGAACCTGAGAGAGGGAACACAAGCAGGGGGAGTGGGAGAGGGAGAAGCAGGCCTCCCGCCAAGCAGGGAGCCCAATGCGGGGCTTGATCCCAGGACCCCGGGATCATGACCCAAGCCGAAGGCAGATGCCCAACGACTGAACCACCCAGGAGCCCCCCGATCTGAATTTAGAACAATAAAAATGTCCTTGTAAGATCTTTTGTAAGAAACTCTCTTGTAAATATTTGAACTTTTGAAGTTTAAAGTTATTTCTTGTGGAAGTAACTGTTAATTGTAAAGCTTTGCATGATAATTAGTAAATTATAATTACATCTAGATGCCAACTATCTGCTAACTGGCATCTATAATTCCTAAGGGTGTGTAAAGTTAGGATTCTTTTGTTTGGCAAAAGTCTTTATCCCATTCAAGTTCTCTCTTTGGACAAAAAATTAATCAGTGTCTCAATATAGTCTATGTATGTGCATGGTGAAGTGCCCAACTTGTGCAGATATGTACCTGCTGATAAATAAAAATTTTGAGGCTTGGCATTGTAAAAAGGTGATTTTTCTCTTCCGACACTTGATAGTTTGATTTGGCATAGAATTGCAGATTGAAAATCCCTAGAATTTTGAAATATTGCACCATTAACCTCAAAATTCCAGTGTGGTTTTCCAAATTCCTTTTTCTCTGTTAATTATAGTCTCCATTTTTCATGTTGGAGACTTTAATCATGTGGTAATCCTTGGCTCTGTCCTTTCAGCTTTAAGAGAGATGCACTAAGGGGCGCCTGTATGGCTCAGTTGGTTAAGCAACTGCCTTCAGCTCAGGCAGCATCCCAGAGTCCTGGGATCGAGCCCTGAGTCGGGCTCCCTGCTCAGCAGGGCAGTCTGCTTCTCCCGTTTCCTCTCCGCTTGCTCGTGCTCTCTCGCGCACTGCCTTTCAAATAAATAAATGAAATCTTTAAAAAGAAAAAGAGATACACTAAAAAGTTAATTGGTGGAATATGCATTTGTAAAATTGCATCAAGCTTTAGGTTCTTTACTGGTCATAAGTTCTACTTAAACAAAACAGAAAAGGAAAATAAAGCTACTTGGAATTTCTTTGTATGTGGTCAGGGTTTGATGGGTTGTCTGCTGGTGTAGGGTGATGTGATGGAGGAGTAGTTTAGCTTTGTCACTGTCTCTTTGTTCTTTTGTTCTTTTGCAATTCACCTTCTCCAGAGAGGGCACCTCCATTCTCTCGCCTTGGGGGTTAAAGCCGGGCTGCCAGCAGTCTGAGACAAGTGGGGAAGGCGGCTGGGGAGTCTCACTTGTCAGTGTGTACATCTTCATGTACTCAGTTGTTTGAGTGTGCACTCCTGCTGTCACTAAGACTGGGATCTGGGACTCTGTAGCCTCTCTGGTTCACACTCTCTGGTTGAGGCTCGGCGTCCCCCGCCACTGTGGTATATGTGTGTCGTCTTCCTTGGCCCTCCCGGCTCTCTGGAGCGCCCTGGCTTGCTTTGTACTGCTGTCCTCCCCTGCACGCACTTTGGCTGCAGGTTTCTCACTGTGTTGAATCAGTTGCCCCCTTCTCCGTAGGTCCTTACATGCAGTGGGTTTGGTGCTTATAGTATTTCTCCGTTTCACCAGCGATGGAATTTAGCTTTCTCTTTCTTGTTCCCTTGGTCGTTTAGAGATGAGTCTCAAGAGGAGAGGGAGGCAGAAATTTCACTCTGTCATCTTAAAACCAGAATCTCCATTTCTTTTAAGTTCAAAAATATGTTCAGCTTTACTATGATTAAGCTATTCAGTGAACTCTCTTCCAAGTGACTTCATGTGTTGGGCATCATGCCTTCAACAAACGGCTCTGACTTGAAGCTCCTAGAGGTCAAGGATCACGTCCTAGGCATCTTGACATCCCTAGCTCCTAGTAAGTTTTCATCACACTGAAAATGCAGTAAAGGGGCGTCTGCCTGGCTCAGTCGGTGGAGCACACAACGCTTGATCTCAGGGTCATGAGTTTGATCCCTACGTTGGGTGTAGGGATTACTTAAATAAAATCATATTAAAAAAAAAAAAAGAAATGAAAACACACTAAAAGTGATAGAGGCAGACTGCCAGATAAGCATAAATACAGAACATTTGTCTTTATCGGCATTATGTATAAATGAAGATTTTTAGAGAGTGCTATTAAAGTGGAGGATGCTGCTTTTTTGGCAAAATTGAGTGAGTGTGAAAACACAATTTCTTCACCTGGTTCCTATTTAACAACTTTACAGACAACATAAAATCTTAGGAATGTTACAGTAACAACACCTCATTTATTTTTTTGAACAGGCCAGCAGATACATAGAGAACGTTCTAAAACCTCACCAGGAAATGAAGTTGAGAAAACTGGAAGAACGCTTTTATCAGATGACGGGTGAAACCTGGAAGTTGAGCAATGGTCATAAACTTGGGGTTAGAAAATATTTTCACTTTATATTTTGAATTCTGCTATTACATATATGCAATAGATGTATATTACACGCATTGGATAAGGACGTATAATGTATAAGTATATCACATATATTGATTTTTTAAATTTTCAAATGATGTTAAGCCATTAGTACGGGCAGTTTTTTAGGAGTCTTTACTGACATAGAGCATATATGTGTGTTGAAGGGTAAATGCTTTTGGTGCCTAAAGAGCATATAACTTAGATGCTTGAGAAGCTCTAACATACGGTAGTCTTTGAGAAAACTGTTGACTAATCACCATATTTTATATGAGGAAATTCAGATCTTTTCTTAAGTAAGATCTCCCCGGTACTATAAGCTCACATTATACTCATTATGTTTGACTCTGTTTCTGTAAAGCCAAATTAACCTTTGGCTCTTTTTTCCTTTGGCATTGAATCTGAACTTCATCATTTGCTACTGGAAGTTCACAATTCCAAGTTTTGTTACAGAGGAAAAAGAATATTCATAAAGGAATTAAGTTTTAGAGTAATTGGCCACAGATTTTATGTATAAGATCATTTCTGTCCCAAACATTTTTGGGGTTGTTTTTTTGCTCTCTGTTTATATTGCACCTTTTACCATCTTGTAAAGAAAATAATCCCGTAAAGGTTAATAGGATTCTTATAGTGAAGCAGAATCAGTTTTTATTCATTTCATAATGGTAAATATGCCATAAAGCAATCAAGGTTGGGTAATGAAATTACTGTGAAAGATGTGCAACGTGAAATGCACCTGCTATGGGGAGTCATTTCACTTCTCAGATGAGTTTGTCTTCTGTTCGGTTTGGTGGTGTTGGACATAGACAGCCTGGTTTTAGCCAGCCACATCTTTTTCTGAAATGGTCACGATGTGAATTAGTCATTCTGCCCCTTGCTTTTAGGCTGTGTCTTCATGGCAATACTAGTTTATATTTTAACCTAGTTGGTGGGGACAACAATAAGTCAGGGACAGAGCAGACTGTTGGCATTGTTATGATTTAAGGCCCATAGGACTATCAAGAATGTGAGAATCGGGATGTTAATTGCTGAGAGAAAGTGTAGGCATCAACTGATGGAGCCCAGTACTTTGCAGTCAGACAGCCTAAGTTTGGCCAGTTAATTGGTGAGCATGAAGGTCTCCTGACTCGCATTGCCCTTGCTCCTTCCAAGTTTTCTTAGGACAAAGGAAGGGGGAAGACAGCCTACGAAAATGGTGGCCATTTTCATCTGATGAGGAGAACATTTACAAGTCAATAGATGTGGAAAAAAGGCATTATTGAACTAAATAAGCATGTATCTGAGAATCTGACAATTATTTTGCACAGGAAAAGGTTTTAATGGGTAATATTAATAAAAAGTAATCTTTATGATTTCTGGAATAAAATCCTTTGCCTTCTAAAGTGATTAACTCAAAGAAAGATGAGAGTTTGAATTTGAGAACTTAAACATGTTCATATATAAAAGGATTCTAGGGCCGCGTTCAGCTATGAAAGTATCACATGGTCACATATACAGACATGTTTGTACGTACATCTTCTATTTCCATGGCCTTTTGAGGCATAATCCCTTGCACTGTCTTGCTTCCTTTATTTTTTTTTAAAAGATTTTATTTATTTATTTGACAGAGAGAGGCATAGCGAGAGAGGGAACACAAGCAGGGAGGAGTGGGAGAGGGAGAAGCAGGCTTCCCGCAGAGCGGGGAGCCTGATGCGGGGCTTGATCCCAGGACCCTGGGATCGTGACCTGAGCCGAAGGCAGATGCTAAATGACTGAGCCACCCAGGTGCCCCTGTCTTGCTTCCTTTAAAGAAAGGAGAAAAGGATATCATTCAGGTTTTCTTCTTTCTTCCATCCTAACTGATCCTGGGGAACGATCCCTCTCAGCCTTGTATCTATCAGAGGGAGCCCCAGAGCTGGATATAGGGTAGTTTCTACAAGATGTTAGCTCCATGTTTTCTTGTCTAAGGAGATAATACTTCAAATTTCTGGGCCTAATAATGACTAAATTATTATTTTTTATTATTTTTTTTATTTTTTAGTAGGCTCCACGCCCAACGTGGGGCTTGAACTCACGACCCTGAGATTGAGTCACATGTTCTACTGACTGAGCCAGCCAGGCACCCCAACTAAATTCTATTTTTTATTGAAATGCCATCAGGGTAAAAGAAATAACCACTGTGATAGAATAAAGTTGGTAACAGCATTTAGAAATTGTCTGTTGTTTTTGACCAGGGTGACGAGGATTTGGCACTTGAAAATGAGAGTCAGACAGCTTTTAAAACATCAAACAGAGAAGCAGCAAAGAGACGAAACTTGCCTAAGCCTTTAAGTAAAATTTCACCATCTGCTGAGCAGCCCATGCAGAAGGAGGTTCATTTCTAAATGCCTACTCATGTAATTGTATCAGTTTGCAGTAGGAATATTGCTCTCTGGGCCAGGTGGTATACTGAGTGAAGATTAGGACTGGCTTTTAATCCAGATGGTATCTTCCCACTGCCTTACGAAGGGGTCAGCTTCATTGAGAATCACTTCTCGTATTTGGTATTAATGTTCTGAACGCCACGTAGAAGGAAGCTATGAAAAAAATGCTAATAGGTTTTGAAAATACTCGGTTCTTTTTGAGGAAGGAATTCAATTATGTAGAAATGAAAAATATGTTTATTAACGGAAACATTCCTACAGGTAGCTAAGATATGGTTAACCCATATTTAGTGAGTGTCAGTTTTTCTCAGTGGCCTTGCTAGGAAATGGGTTAGCAACCATTCACTTTGGAACAGTGCTCAGATTTATTATTCCTTCTGTTCTTTCAAATCTTCAGTCCCCAAGTTGACTCTCATTTGGAGGTGGCAGAGGTTGGGAATAGGTCTCTTTGTACTAACTCTGAGGGAAAGCTGAGAGGCTGTATTTTCCCTGAAAATAGTTTCTAATGTGTTGCTTCTCTGTTTGAAGTTTCTTGGTCCCTTAATGGGGCTTGAAGGTGGCAGTCGGGTCACTGAACTATTTCTAGCATTTTTAAAAGATCTAATGAACTATATGGACTAATTTAAAATTCAGGATTCTTTACCTTTTGTTAAGAACAAGAGTCGTCTCAAGTTGATGGTAAATTTTGGTTGACCGTCAACCTATGCTTTTGATACCAAAGGAAAACAAATGGTTTATTTTTTTTTCTAAAGATTTTATTTATTTATTTGAGACAGAGAATGAGACAGAGCATGAGAGGGTCAGAGGGAGAAGCAGACTCCCCGCCGAGCAGGGAGCCCGATGCGGGACTCGATTCCAGGACCCCAGGATCATGACCTGAGCCGAAGGCAGTCGCTCAACCAACTAAGCCACCCAGGCGCCCCAAATGGTTTATTTGATAAGATGCAATTAATGTTGGTTAGATAAAATGCCATAAAACATGAGTCTGTGGTATTAAAAAACAAAAAGCATCCCTGAAGGTGAAATTGTTGGCAACAGTGTTTAGTGAGAGAAGATGGTCTGAACACCTGGTTTTGTAACGGATAAATTGAAATAGGGAAACCAGAGTAAATCATGAAGGCAACCAAAGTGAATGGTGGTTATCTAGTCCCCTAGAAGTGCCAATGAAGGAAAATATGCACTTAAAATGTGTGTGTGTGTACATACATATATATATGAACCTAAATAATTTTGGGGTCTATTGAACTTAATATTTATCCTCGGTTTCTTTAAATAATATATTTTATATAGTATCTTGGAATATCATAAAAATAAGATTCTTACATGAGCATAGATGGGTAGCTGTCACCTCACCTCCTGTTATTATCATCTGTTTAGCACAAAGTTGCTTCCCCAAAAATGTTTATTAATTGAGCTCTTTCATATTATAAATTTTTTATAAATGTCTGTTAAAAGATCTCATTAAGCTTAGATATGCCTAAACTCTATATTAAAAGGAACCCTTCTCGCTGAGATTGTTATTTTTTTTCTTCTTCAAAATGTTTACATTCCTCTTACAAATCCTCATTTATCTTTAGGTTCTTAGTCTCCCTGAAGAACCTCCTGAAACAGCTGAAGAAGTAAGCTTATTTTTTTCCTTTGGAAATTAAATGTATTTTCTGTTTTCTTTAACATCAAGTGAGTACATCTTCTCTTGGTTTGGGTTTAGAAAGAGAAGAGAGCACTGTAATTAGGTCTGTTTTGAATGTGGTGTAATCTCAAACCCCGTAGTTCTAGTCCTGTTTTGGAGCTGGCTCTCTGTCCCCTGAGGTGGGCGGGGGGGCGGGGAGGATGTTTAGAGCCCTCCCACTTCATCAGACAGAGAAACAATTTCGTGGGCTTTTCCAAACTTGAGGTCAGCAAAGGAGTTAGTTATTTTTTAAAAGATTTTATTTATTTATTTGACAGAGAGAGTGAAAGCGCATGAGCACAGTAGGCAGGCAGAGGGAGAGGGAGAAGCAGGCTTCCCGCTGACCAAGGAGCCCAATGCGGGGCTCGATCCCAGCACCCCGAGATCACAACCTGAGCCGAAGGCAGGTGCTTAACCGACTGAGCCACCCAGGCGCCCCAGGAACTACTTATGAAAACGGAATCAGTATGGGCAGATGACTTCAAATTGTAGTTTTCCTCCTAAAATAGAGGAGCTGAAGAATGCAGCTACTGTGTAGATGTTTGAGTTGAAAGATGGTTTGGGGTTTTGGGGTGCGGGGTCTGACGGAACCTCCACTCCGTGCTGAGCTGCCCTCTGCCCGGCTGCGCGTCTTTAAAGCCCTGAAGTCCTTCAGGCAAAGGAAAGCCCTGATGCTTTTCCGCGTCTAGGGCTCAGCAACTGTTAGACTCCTTGAAAACCGGTTTTGAGGCTGCCAGGACAGCCCCTGGCAGGGTCTCATTTGTATCAACACATTCGCAAACATTTCAGTTGGGGACGTAGGATGTCTGAGGAAAATCCAAAAGTCACAGAGACGATGAAGGGTGCAATCCTGACACGGAACCTCCAGGAGAAACACAAAAACAGAAAAACAACTTCTAATTCCTTTCTGTTATACCCAACAAATTCAAGTCTGTGCTAATGTCCATCCTGACCCCCACACCCCACATTCTCACTTCTCATCAAGCACTGGGTTGGTATCCACGACAACCGTTTATCATACGGAAGCAATTAAATATAGCTCCGGTTTGACAGGGAGCACCTTTTATGAATTTACTCTGGCTTCAAAACACATGACCTCATTGCTACAGGACAGACTGGGTAGAGCTTTCACCCTGTATGTATGTGTATGTGGTACCTGTGATTATGATAAGGAGCCATGAGGAAATTCTCGTTCCAGCCGAAGCCTGCTTGCCTGTCGGAACGGACGGATAGATGAGCCAACTAATGGCTCCGTGCGTTTCTGATAGGAGAGGGAGGGACTCCATGCATAATTAATGCAATTCTTACTTAAGCAGTACACTTTGATTCTTCTAGTGCCTGTTATGCATTTAGTATTACAACCATCCATAGAGTTCTAAATAACACGGTAAGAATTTAAAAATGAGAGGAGGGGCGCCTGGGTGGTTCAATCGGTTAAAAGTCTGCCTTCGGCTCAGGTCATGATCCCAGGGTCCCAGGATCCAGCACCAGTTTGGGCTCTCTGCTCAGCGGGGAGTCTGCTTCTCCTTCTCTCGCTCCCCCCTGCTCGTACTCGTTTTCTCTCGCCCTCTCGCAAAAATAAATAAAATATTTTTTAAAAGGGTTTCCTGACAGTTATTATTTAATAAACTTCAGAAAAAAATTACTTCCTCCTCTTCTTTGTTTTTTGAATGTCTTTTAATATTAACTAGCAGTTTCCAAGCTCTTGGAAAGAGCTTAGAAAGAGCTATGTAACTGTTTAATCAGGGAGAAATGATGGGGAAACCCAATACATAAAGCAGATGGAGCAGGAGCTCTGTCCCAGCAGCTAGGACCAACTCCTCTGGGCACAGCCTACAAGGACAGAGTAAGTTGGGAAACTTTGTTTCCTTCCAATTCAGTGTTTTTCTCCTCCGTAGACTCTGAGGTGGCACTGGATCTTCTTGGTTTGGTAGATGAATTTTGAATCCCACATGCAACCTTGATATTATCTGGAAAGACAGAAGTATCGAGTTTCTGGTGTCCTCTCCGGAAGGCTCGGTCATTGATCCCCTCGATCAATAGGAAGATGTTCTTCCGTTTCAGAAGGCATTTTTATATTTAGAGTGACTTTTATCTAGACCTTTATGTCGGCCTACTACTCTCAGAGCTAAACGCCTACAAAACCCCACACTAGCTGTGTAGAATTACAGAAGTTTCACAGGAGTAGCAATTTTGAAATTGCAAAGAGCAGCAGATTGGAATTCTTATTTGAACGTTTTTATTCCTCAGATAGTTACTGTTGCTCTCCGATGTCCAAGTGGGTGTGTCCTGAGGAGAAGATTTCTTAAGTCTTGCAGTTCACGGGTGAGGAAATTTGTGTTCTGAGAAATAATTTTTGTTGAATTTGACAATAATTTACTCCCATGCCGTGGGAGAGGTATTACCACTTTCTTGTCTGGGTCCCCCTTCAGGGGTGGGAAAGGGCATTTATATGTACTCGGTGTTGCAGAAATTTGGATAATTAGGCATGCTGGATGTTTTTGAACTGTGATTTCTGCTTTTTTTTTTTCCCCACTTTTTTTCCTATTTTTTATTTGTTGTTTTTTTATTAATTACATTTTCACAGCTTGGTAGATACAATGCTCTCAAATCCCTAGGAATCAGCCAGTATTAACTTTGTTCCCATTATCCTTGATGGGTTATTAACTTAAGCCCTATTGCTTATATGTAATTTTCAGATCATTCTTTAGGGTTTATTTCCTTTTGTTCTAATAGATTTTTTTTTTTCCTCTCAAAAACAGTCCTGTGTTCATTAGCAATAATTTGGAAAACAGAAAAGTAGAAAGAAAAAAGACTTGATCTGCAGTGTGACACCAAGGCCAACTGCTAATATTTTGGTGTATTTCTACTTTTAAGCACACTTAATTATGCATTATATTAGAAATATATCTTTTTTTTAAAGATTTTATTTATTTGACAGAGAGAGAGCAAGCACAAGTAGTGGGGAGCAGCAGGGAGAGGGAGAAGCAGGCTCCTTGCAGAGCAGGGAGCCCGATGCGGGGCTCGATCCCAGGACCCTGGCATCATGACCTGAGCCGAAGGCAGACGCTTAACCGACTGAGCCACCCAGGCGCCCCTAGAAATATATCTAAATAGTTTTCTGTCCTGTTTCTTGCATTTAACCTTCTATGGCTAGCATGCTATGAACTATAATGGAAAATACTGATGGATTTGACTACATAGAAATGTAAAATTCTATTAAAAAGTTCAGGGGCACCTGGGTGACTCAGTCTGTTAAGCATCTGCCTTCGGCTCATGTCATGATCTCAGGGTCCTGGGATCGAGCCCTGCATCGGGCTCCCTGCTCCACGGGAAGCCTGCTTCTCCCTCTCCCTCCACCCCTCCCCACCTCTTATGATCTCTCTTTCTCTCTCAAGTAAATAAATAAAATCTTATTAAAAAAAGAAAAAAAAGGGCGCCTGGGTGGCTCAGATGGTTAAGTGTTTGCCTTCGGCTCAGGTAATGATCCCAGGGTCCTTCGGATCGAGTCCCGCATCGGGCTCCCTGCTCAGCGGGGAGTCTGCTTGTCCCTCTGCCTGCCGCTCCCCCTGCTTGTGCACACACTTTCTCTCTATGACAAATAAATAAATAAATAATCTTAAAAAAATAAAATACAGAGGGGCACGTGGGTGGCTCAGTTGGCTAAGCATCCGACTCTTGATTGCAGCTCAGGTCATAAGATGCGATCTCAGGGTTGTGAGATCAAGCCCCGAGTTGGGCTCCTCACTGAGTGTGGAGCCTGCTTGGGATTCTCTCTCACCCTCTCCCTCTCCCACCCCCTTGCCCATGCTCTCTCTAAAAAAGTAAACTGACTCTCTTAAGCCTTTTTTTAATCTTTTTTTTTTTTAATTTATTTTTCAACAGAGAGAGAGACAGTGAGACAGGGAACACAAGCAGGGCGAGTGGGAGAGGGAGAAGCAGGCTTCCTGCTGAACAGGGAGCCCGATGTGGGGCTCGATCCCAGGACCCTGGGATCATTACCTGAGCGGAAGGCAGACGCTTAACGACTGAGCCACCCAGGTGCCCTCTCTTAAGCCTTTAAAGATGATCTTATTAGAGACCCCAGAGGCCTGCATGAGATTATAAGGAAAAGATTTCAGGGCAGGTCACCACTCAGTGAAAGTCAAGCTTCCATATAACTGTAAAGCATCAGATTCTGATGGCCGGGATGCATTAACTGTAAAATGTATTCTTACATAGTTGACCAAATTGAACTACTGATGGTTTTTATTTAGTTTTGGTATGGTTCATTGAGTTGTTTCAGAAAATACGAGTGACCATTTTTAACAGTTCAAGTATTTTAGTTTTTTTTTTAATAGATTTTTATTTATTTATTTGACAAAGAGAGAGATAGCGAGAGCAGGAACACAAGCAGGGGGAATGGGAGAGGGAGAAGCAGGCTTCTTGCCGAGCAGGGAGCCCAATGCGGGGCTCCGATCCCAGGATCCTGGGATCATGACCTGAGCCGAAGGCAGACGCTTAACGACTGAGCCACCCAGGCGCCCCAAGTATTTTAGTTTAATGAATAATGGTATCATCAGCAAAGATGAGGATATTTGACTTCTTTGATTTATACTTGGATGACATGCAGGCAGTTTTCTAAAGTGTTTCACATCATTCAAGGAAATGGAAATGAGCATGAATGGAAACAGGCAACAATACAGCTCTGTTTTACATTGTTTCAGATCCTAAGACTTCATCTGCACAGTCCTCTTGAAACAGTGATAGTATGAAACCAGCATATATACCTACCAATTTACGGTTAAGTAGACAGTGTGTTCTCTAGGTGGTCCCTCTTTGTAAAGGCCCCAAAAGCTGATGAGCAATCTGCAGAAAATTTTTCACACAGATCAAAAACCTTAGTTGCTCCTTATATAAAGGATGGGATTGAGAGACCTAGTCCTGCAATTGTTTGAAAGTAAAACTAACACAGTGATGCCTGGGTGGCTCAGTTGGTTAAGCAACTGACTGCCTTCAGCTCAGGTCATAAATCCTGGAGTCCCAGGATCGAGTCCTGCTTCGGCGGGGGGGGGGGGGGGGTGTCCCTGCTTAGCAGGGAGTCTGCTTCTCCCTCTGACTTTCCCCCTCTCATGCTCTCTCTCATTCTCTCTCTCACAAATAAATAAATAAAATCTTTTTTTTTTTTTTTGAAGATTTTATTTATTTATTTGACAGAGAGAGAGATAGCGAGAGCAGGAACACAAGCAGGGGGAATGGGAGAGGGAGAAGCAGGCTTCTTGCCGAGCAGGGAGCCCGATGTGGGACTCGATCCCAGGACCCTGGGATAATGACCTGAGCCGAAGGCAGACGTTTAACGACTGAGCCACCCAGGCGCCCAAATAAATAAAATCTTTAAAAAAAGATGTTTGGCCTTAATAGAATCAAAGAAGTGCAAATTAAAATGGGACAGAATTTTCTACGTCTCAGGTTGTCAAAGATTAAAAAGAAGAATACGCAGTTTTGACCAGTGTGTGGAGAAAACAGTGATTCTCATTAATTGTTCCTGTGAATATAAATTGGGCCACTGTTCCTATGGGATAATTTACTCATATTATCTTTTTTTTTAAGACTTTATTTGAGAGAGAAAGAGGGGGGAGGGAGCGCAGAGGGAGAGGCAGAAGTGGGCTCCCCACTGAGCAGGGAGCCCCATGTGGGGCTCGATCCCAGGACCCTGGAATCATGACCTGAGCCGAAGGCCGATGCTTAACCAGCTGAGCCACCCAGGCGCCCCTCGTATAATCTTTAACATAAGCAATAGTAGGGAGGACCATAGGGGAAGGGAGGGAAATCTGAAGGGGGAGAAATCAGAGAGGGAGATGAACCATGAGAGACTATGGACCCCGGCAAACAAACTGAGGGTTTCAGAGGTGAGGGGGGTGGGGGGGACGGGGTAACAGGGTGATGGGTATTAAGGAGGGCACATGTTATGGTGAGCACTGGGTGTTATACTCAACTAATGAATCACTGAACACTACATCAAAAACTAATGATGTACTACTATACAGTGGCTAACTGAACATAATAAAATAATAAAATATATCTTTTGGTAATTAATTTCATTGATGAGAATTCTATGGCAATAAGACAAATGATCAAAGGTGTAAGTGTTTATGTGGGGATTGCTTGAATTAATGTATCCAAATATTGGAAAATTATGAAGCTTTATGACCTGGATGTATGTTTATTACATGGAGTATCAGTAGGTTCTTGGATGGTAGTTAGCAGGAGAAGTCAGAGATTATCTATAATTGATACTCCAGCTTCCCCCAAGAACATTCTAGTACCCAGCTTTCTTCCTAAAGCAGCAAACAGTCCTTTGGCAGGCATTTTTAGGTAGTAGGAAATGGAAGTTTTGACAATTACTGTGGAAATCTTCATAACAGGAAATGTTCTCAATTTATAGGAATAGCCCATTGGAAATTGGGCTATCATAAGGCAGAGTCACTGGGGCCTGGACATGGCTCTGGTAACAGAGTTCCTGAGTGATTTTGACTAGTGGCTTCGATTTTGATCTAAATAATTTTTTTCCCATATGCTAACCTTTTGTTCATAACTTTTTAATTGAATAACCTTTCCATTTCCTAGGATTGGGGCTTTGCTGTTTGTTAAATGCCCCTGATGTCTGTAGGTGCCTTCAGTCCCTAGGCCTTCTCTGAAATTTCGGAAAGGTATTAAAGGTTATTTGCATCTCACCAATTCTTGGCATGCTGTTTTCCTTGAAACAGTGAAAGAATTGTAAAATATCATGATGACCTAGAGAGGGATACAACTGTGCCCAGTATCTGATAGCTAAACTTTTTATCTGTTAGGTCTTACTTGACTGGATGATGAAAATCGGGTACCACACATCCCGATACAGCCTTTCTACTTCCTTTCCCAGACGGCCTCTGGAAGTGGAGGGGGGCTGGTCACTGCAAGACACAGGAATAACTGTGGATACCGTACTCATTGTGGAGGAGAAAGAGCAGAGCAACTAATTAAGAAATGAGAACTACCTGTTCTTCATAAAATCAGTGATGCCATGACTTTACAGGACAATAAAGGATTCACATGAAAATTACGCCATTCCTTGACCGAGCTCAAGGAGGTAAACACTTGAATGTTGATATCCTTGGGAACATATGGACATAAAGGATTAGAAAAGGATTGCTCTCTGCATATAATAGTTTTTGGAATGTGCTGTCTTATAATGTCCCAAATGAAAACTAGATAAAAATGTATACAGTAAGGCACTCAATGGTTTGTATTTTTCCTGGCTGACATCATTTATCACTATGTTGAAAAACAAAGTCATACAACTCTTTTTTCTGCCTCTGCAGTCCACCTTGCCACACTGAACATTTCACAGTTCAAACTCTCTAAAATCTTTTAAGTAGGAATGTTTGTTCTGCTTCTAGAAATTAAACTTTAAAGACATTTCAAAGGTCTTTAATGCTTTAAACTTCTTTTTGATATCTGATAAAGGGTTAGTATCCAAAATGTGTAAAGAACTTATAAAACTCAACACCCAAAAAACAAATAATCCAATTTAAAATGGGCAGAAGACATGAACAGACATTTCTCCAAAGAAGACACAGATGGCCAACAGACACATGAAAAGATGCTCAACATCACTGATCATCAGGGAAATGGAAATCGAAACTACAATGAGCTGTTACCTCATACCTATCAGAATGGCTAGAATCAACAACACAAGAAACAACAGGTGTTGGCAAGAAGGTAGAGAAAAAGGAACTCTCTTGCACTGTTGGTGGGAATGCAAACTGCTACAGCCACTATGGAAGACAGTATGGAGTTTCCTCAAAACATTAAAAATAGAACCACCCTACGATTCAGTAATTGCACTACTAGGTATTTACCCAAAGAATACAAGAACACTAATTCAAAGAGATACATGCACCCCTGTGTTTATAGCAGCATTATTTACAATAGCCAAGATATGGAAGCAGCCGAAGTGTCCCATCAGTTGATGAATGGATAAAGAAGAGATGGTACACACACACACACACACACACACAGGAATATTATTCGGCCATAAAAAGAATGCAATTTGCCATTTGCAGTGACATGGATGGAGCAAGAGAGTATAATGCTAAGCGAAATCAAAGAAAGACAAATACCGTATGATTTCATTCATGTGGAATTTAAGAAACAAAACGGGAAAAGACAAACCAAGAAACAGACTCTTAACTGTAGAGAACAAACTGATGGTTGTCAGAGGGGAGGTGGGTGGGGGATGGTTGAAATAGGTGATGGGGATTAAGGAGGGCACTTGTCATGAGCACCAGGTGATTAAAATAAAAACTTAAATGAAAAAAAAGTTTTTTTTAATAAAGATCTTTTTGAAAGGTATGTATTGTTTACTGAATTAATGTCAAGATTTATTTAATTTCACCTTGCATTAAATTGGAACATTTACAAGTTCTGGGATCAGTATTTTAAAAATAAAACAATGAAAACATTAAAATATAGGTGAATTTTTTAAATATATATGTATCTCTGGTCATTTCATTTTCCTGCAGTGTTATAGTCATGTACTTTAATACCAAGTTCAACTCACAAGTGTGGGATATAAAAAGATCTTTGTTGTGGTCACTCCCTTTTTCTTTTCCTATGTGTGTTGTCAGTTAAGTTGACTCCTCTGTGTATTGGCCTCTCTTTAATGCTCCTTTTACCTCTTGTGTAGAATTTATTACACTGTATTATCGCTGTGTTTTTCTTTTCCCAAATACATAATTCCTTAAAAGCAAGGATTGTATCTTTTTTTTTTCCCCTCCAGAAGTACTTAGTATATAGTAGATGCTTAATACATGTTTGAAAATAATAAGTCGTCTCAACGTCTAACTTTGTTTATTGGGTCTGGAATATCCCACATTGAAAAAAATGAAAAAGACTCATATTTTAAATTAATCATAAAAGGGTTTCAATTTTTCCCTTCCTACTACCTTCTTCTTTTTTTAAACATATAATGTATTATTTGTTTCAGAGGTACAGGAGGGTTATAGAGGGGAGGGGGTAGGGGATGTGTTAGCCTGGTGATGGGTATTAAAGAGGGCATGTATTGAATGGAGCACTGGGTGTTATACGCAAACAATGAATCATGGAACACTACATCAAAAACTAATGATGTATGGTGATTAACATAACATACATAATAAAATAAAATTTTAAAAAAAGGGTTTCAAAACTACAAAGTTATAAAGATTTTTTTTTTTTTAAGATTTTTATTTATTTGACAGTGAGAGAGGGAACACAAGCAGGGGGAGTGGGAGAGGGAGAAGCAGGCTCCCCGCTGAGCAAGGAGCCCAATGCAGGGCTGGATCCCAGGACTCTGAGATCATGACCTGAGCTGAAGACAGCTGCTCAACCGACTGAGTCACCCAGGTGCCCCAAAACTTTACAAAGTTATAAAAACTAAAATCACCCATAATCTCAATATCCAGAAATAAGTGTGACTAAAATTATAGTTTTCTGTATGTCCTGCTGGACTTTCTATGCTTATGTATAACTGATTAAAAAAACAAAAAAAGGACCCCAAATTTTTAGACCCCTTGGAAAAACTGATTATTGTGAAAGCTACCAAGAAATTTTGCTCCTTAGGAACTGTGGTAGCTGGCCCCAAGGGGGGGAAATTTGTTATGTGGCAAGAGAAACTAGTACAAGAAACAGTCAGTACATTTTCCCCAACAGTATGAAGATGTCCTTAGGATGAATGACTTTTACTGTTCTGGGTAGATTCTTTGGTTTCTGTGGCTGGTATCTTGTCTTCAAAGAGTCAGTAAGCGTCCAGTATATATATTTTTGTGTGTGTGTCCAGTATTCTTTGAAATAGACTCAAATGCAGATAGAAATACAAAAGATGAACACACGCTTCCATATTTACCTGTTCTGATCACAAACTTTCATAGGCTCTATTTTCAGTTGTCTGTTCACATCCATGTCCAAGGATACAGACTGGAAAATGATTATCATTAAAGAAAAATATGGGGCATCTGGGTGGCTCAGTTAAGCCTCCAGCTCTTGATTTCAGCTTGGGTCATGATCTCAGGGTTGTGAGATTGAGCCCTACATTGGGCTCCACGCTCAGCAGGGAATCTGCTTAGATTCTCTCTCCCTCTCCCTCTGCCCCTCCTCGCCTAAAATAAATAAAATCTTTTATAAGTTTTTTTTTTTTTTTTTAAGATTTTGACAGAGTGAGAGAGCACAAGCAGGGGGAGAGGCATAGAGAGAGGGAGAAGCAGACTCCTTGCCGAGCAGGGAACCCGACTTGGGGCTCGATCCCAAGGCACCCCTAAAATAAATCTTTTTAAAAATCTTTGTTCTTGTTTAAAAAGCCAAAATTTTAGTAATTAACAAATGGTCCTTAAAATTTGTGGAATAGTTTCTTCCTGTCCCCCCAATTTCTTTCTTTCTTTTTTTTTTAAATTTGAGACAGACAGAGAGAACACAAGAGGGGGTAGGGTGAGAGGGAGAAGCAGACTCCCTGCCAACCAGGGAGCCCAATGCGGGACTCGATCCCAGGACTCCGGGATCACGACCCGAGCCGAAGGCAGTCGCTTAACCAACTGAGCCACCCAGGCGCCCTGTGTCCCCCCAATTTCTAACACAAAAATCATTAGGGCCATTTCTTTATGTGGTGATACATTTTTCTTTTCTTTAAACAAAGAAAAAACACTATGTTGCATGGATAGCTAAAGGGCTAATGATAGATGCTTAATTGTTTCCTTGGTTACAAAAGCTAATTCTTCTGGGTGTAGGGAAGGGAATTACAGATACCTTAAATCTTTAGATTCTTGGTTAATAATACTATTCTTTTATACCATAGTCTCTTGCAATGAGTTGGAAAACTAGAGACATAATTAAGGAATTATTATTTTTAGGTATGATATTGGCATTGTGGTTAGGTGAGAAAGAAAAAATCTCTATAAAGATACATGCTACAATAGATAGGACTTATGGTAAAATTTTGCTTCAAAATGGGGAGAGGACAGTAGGTGGGGGTATAGCTGAACAAATATTAAACGTAAGTAAAAGATACATTGGGTTACCTTATACTCTTCTTTCTAATTTTGTATAATTTTCCATTATGTCAACAGGCTTCAGATCTTTAAAAAGGACAGACCTGTAAGTTTGTCAGGTGATATATGAGAAAGCTGTGACTAAAATAGCTTTAGATTAAAAAAAAGAATAGCCTGAGGGAAAATTAACTTGAATCCTATTTCGAGTTGGCCTGCTTATTATTGTTTTTAATAATGTACTTCAGTGGAGGACTGAAATTGAAAAACTTAAAAGACCTACATCTTACATACACTAAAGAATATTCTATTTAAACATAGCAGGCAGTCAAAATGACCAGGAGTGCACTATATAACCTATTTCTCTCTAGCACACAAGCCACGTATCTTTATTTAGAGAATTTCCTCTAATTTTGTTATTCTTCATCTCTCTTCATGCTTCACATTTTTTCTTTTTTAAAGATTTATAATTTTAAAAAATATTTTATTTGTCAGAGAGAGTGGAGCGCACAAGCAGTGGGAACTGCAGGCAGAGGGAGAAAGCAGGCTCTCCAGCAAGCAGGGAGCCCAATGGGGGACTCGATCCCCGGACCCTGGGATCATGACCTGAGCCAAAGGCAGACGCTTAACTGACTGAGCCACCCAGGCGCCTCTAAGATTTATTTATTTGAGAGAGATAGGGAGAGTGGGGAGGGGGGTGCTGAGGGAGAGAATCTCAAGCAGACTGCCCCCTGAGTGTGGAGCCTGACTGGGGGCTCAAGCTCCTGACCCTGAGATCACTCCCCGAGCAGAAACCAAGTCAGACGCTCAGCCAACTGAGCCACGCAGGTGTCCCATGCTTCACTTTGTAATGGACCCATGCGGCACATAACTCATTTGAGTTTGATAATACAATAGTTACCTGTTATCAAAACACAACATAAATGTCACTTTAGGTTGCCCAACTATTATGCCTGTGATACTAAGGGCTATTTTGTCATGGGAGAAAATAAAAAAAACATAATGCCATCTTTTTCTAAAGGGGAAAAAAAACCCTTTCTGAAGGGAAAAAAATTTTTTTTCTAAAGGAAAAAAAATTTTTTTTAATGTGACATTCTCCTTTAAAGGCGGGGAGGCAGGGGAACTAGTCTTAATCAGTTAATTGTTCGGCCAGCTGAAACAGATCCTAAAAATAACAAGTTCTAAACCATCCGGCAGTTTTGGACTTCTCAGGATAAAGCAAGCTGCAAAGAATGCTTCTCTCACTCTAACAAGAAACAGCTGGATGATACACAATCGTAACATTTTTTGAGCCTCCGATCGCTGAGGCTGCAAAGAATTCACGGAACCTGGGAGCGCCTGGGTGGCTCAGTCGTTGAGCGTCTGCCTTCGGCTCAGGTCATGATCCCAGGGTCCTGGGATCGAGCCCCCGCATCGGGCTCCCTGCTCCGCGGGAAGCCTGCTTCTCCCTCTCCCGCTCCCCCTGCTTGTGTTCCCTCTCTCGCTGTGTCTCTCTCTGTCAAATAAATAAATAAAATCTTAAAAAAAAAAAAAGAATTCACGGAACCTGAATTCCAAAGAGGGGTAATCCACTCCGACACAAACAGATAAAAACCCAGCTAAGATTTTAAACATTTTTAAAGGCCAGGCGTGGGCCACTGTTACCACTTCGGAGTGGGACTGGCTATTTAATTTGTGGGCCTTAGTGCCAAAGGAAAGCGTGGGAAACCTTGCAGAAAAAAGAAGAATTCAAGATGGTGACAGCAGAGCATTAAACCGAGCCTAAGGACCTTCTCAGTGTGGGTCTGTGGCTGATGGCGCAGGACACACGCCGTGAAGCCAGTCCTGCCCCGGGGCCTCGGACGCAAAGGGGCTTTGCACTCGGCGGAAAGCTCTTCCGCACCAGCCTTCACCAGGTGTTCATGGCCAGGAGCAGGAGCGACGCAGGAGACCAGGCGAAGCCAACCCGGCTGCAGGTGAGGTGCCTGGTGGGCTGCGGAGCACCAAGCTCAGAGCTCCTCTAGCTTGCCGGGAGCCTTCTCCCCAGTCTTAATCCATCACAGGCGGTTCGCCCGGTGACCACAGGACACTGGCCAGGATGGACTGTTCGGGGAGGAGCAGTAAAAGTGAAATCCATCGGCCGCTCTCGAGACACAGGGAAAGATTTATTGCTACTGGGGGAAGAGGAGAAGCAAAAACGTTCTGTTCCTGGAGGAGGGGCAGATAGGTAACAGGTGTTTGCCATTGCCGGGGGTGGCGCAGGAAACAAGCACCCTGGACCGACCCCAGGGAGAAGGCAGAGTTTGGCGGCCGCAGGTGGGAGGAGCGGGAATACTAAGAAAACCTCACCTCCGCAGCCGCGGCCCAAAGGGCCTGCCTGAGATGGAGGCTGATTTGGGACGATACGGCGTCTCTTCCGCTCCTGCCGTGAGCTCGGCCCCGACCCCCGGCAACGGCAGGCTGCAGCTAGACACACAGGGACAGAGCATGGAGGAAGACCCCCTCCCTGATACAGGTATGCGGGGACAACGGGAAGCTGAGCGGGCGGCAGGCACACAGAAAACCCTAGCGCTCCAAGCCCTACCCCGAGCTCAAGGTGATAGCAGCCCCCCCCCCCCCCGCCGTTAGTGGAACCGGGGGCCATGGGCTCTGAGTCTGAGGAGTGACAGAATTCTATACCTACCGGAAATATGTTTCAAAACGGAACATGTAAGACATACAAACGCTGAAGGAATTCATCACCAGCAGACTTGCCC